GAAACCAGCTTGAATTACTGGAAAATCTCATATAAAATTATACTCCAAGCTCCTTTTATTATATGAGCAGAAGCACTTTTGTCATCCTCTGTATAAAATACCTTTGTCCTACAAATCTTCATCCACATGGCCGCATATCTGTGTTCCTGTGTATGTCTCTTCGTGTATCCCATTTTGTTTTGAGTTATTTCCACAATAAGCAGAAGTAGTAATGTCCTGTATTTCTTAATTCTCTAGTCAGTGGTACTAATTCAAACCCTACAAGGCAGCCTGGAAGCAAGATGTTCCTTTTAGGTAATGAGTCTGTACAAGTATGTTTATGTAAGGTGCATTTTACCTCCCAGAAATGAGAGTTATATAAAAGATAATTAGTTTGTCTTTAGACCAAATCAAAGATGAGGTACTGATGTCTATCAAAGCAAGTATGACTGAGCTGTTTCTTCTAGTACTCACTCTTTTGGGCCATGGTAGCATCTTGGAACTACATGAACTTCATGTCCCTTCCAACTCAAATCTTCCTATGAGTCTATGAGATATACATTTTCCCCTAGTAATAGAAGCCTATATTAATGTTAATGCCATCCTATGTAAATCATAATTTAAGCAATTTGAATTCTGTAGCAAGAAGGTGAGGCTTTTGTTTTCCTGCATTAGTTCAAAGATAGGCCTGAAAAAAAATGGGTAACAAAGATCATCTGGGTCCTGAAATATGAGGATGTATGGAAATTAAGTCACTGCATTATTACTTGGAAGAAGAACAATTGGTATTTTTTGTACTAGAACTTGAGGTGGCTTGAATTGTTTCCTTTAACTGTGTTGTACTACAGTTTCTTTGATAGTGCCAATCTATTTGCTGTACCGAAAACTTTGCGTATATCTGCTGTTGTGATTTTTGTGTTTCCAATCTTTAATGGTCACAAAACTTTCTGATGTAATAGTAATGTGTTATTTTTATTACTAATTGTTAGTTCCTGCTGTTCAGAGCATGTGTGTAGATGCAAGTATACTCTTAATGTGCTGCAGAACCTATGAGCACTTTTACAATGTAATCTGCAGTAAAAGCACTTTACCAATAGGGATGTCTGAGGCTGGATGTTCTGAAGAAGTCATAATAAAGATAGTGACATGGTCTAGTCAAAACAAGTGCTACTTTGTGGTTCATCTATCAATAAGCACAATTTAATCATGTATTTATAGTGAACAAAATGTTCTAACAAGAAAACTGATGTGCTAATCATTTGCTACTTTCAGGGCTTGTAATGCAGTGTTTACGGCATTAGACCATTGTCAGGAAGCTGTAGAAATAACCAGTGAAGATCATGTCATTCAGGTAGGGCGTGGGAAATGTTAACTATTTAATAGGATTTGAAAAGAGGAACCCCAAAGAGATCTTGGCTTGGTAGTTCCTGTTCTATATCAGTGTTTTAGTTTTGTTGCTCATTAGAAAGTCTTGTGCAATTCACTGCTTAATTTCTGGTCGCTGCACACTGATGCCTGCTAAATTTTTAAGTCTTTTCCTTCTGTAACCTTATTGTGATGGTATTTTTCAGCAATGTTGTTTCTGGTAAAACCTGCATTAGTTCTCTTTCTGTGCCTTCTGATAGATTACATATTGCCTTCTCTGTTCAGCCTCTTGCTTGAATAAAATGTTTCACCATTACATAGTATTTTTATATGAGAAACACTGAATTGTATGGATGTGTGATTATGGCTTTAGCATATAACTTGTCACACTTTGATACTTATATATAAGTTACTAGCCTTTAAATAAGTTGGGTTTTTTTTTATATTGTACTAATGTATCTTTTTTTTGGCAGTATGTTAATCCAGCCTTTGAACGGATGATGGGGTACTGCAAGGGAGAACTTATTGGCAAGGAGCTTACTGAACTACCTAAAAGTGATAAAAACTCTGCAGATCTTTTGGACAACATAAACACATTTATTAAAAAAGGAAAGGTAAGCAAATAAAATAAACTAATTTGAAATTGCTATAGAGTTCTATTCTGATTTGGTTTTTATTGCTGTAGGTTTAAGAACACAAGATGTGCTCTTCATTAGTACACATAATAAGACCAGAATTCTGTTTCTCAGATGTCTAAGCAAAACAGCCCATGCCACAGACAAGTGACTACAGATTTCATTAGCTTTGCTTTTAGGATCTGACTGAACTGCTGATTTGCTGGCTTAAGATCAGTATCAGAATTCTTTCTGTGTTTCTGTTTTGCTTAGAGCCCATGGAGCTTTTGTTAGATGGAATGTAACAGTTTGTCCCTCAGTCTCTCAGGTGGCTGAATCATCCAACCAAAATGTGTAACTTCTGTCAAACAGCAGAGCCTTCACTGACTGCATACTTAAAAGCACCAAAATGTACTGGCACCCAGTGAGGTGGCAATTCCTTTCCTAATAACTATACTTAGAATAGAATATCTGCAGTGTACTGTGAACTCCTGTCCTTGTGGTGATGGGCCTGGCAATATGCTCCCCTAATACATGCAACAGTGTCTTATCCCATCTCCCCTGGGTTGCAGAAATACCTGTCGCTCTTCCCTGTCTCATGTTCTGCTTCAAGACCTTTGGGGAGTTGTTGAACCTTTGAGTCATGTCCAGCAGTGATCTGAGCTTTGTGAGTCACTGTCTGGAGTTGTTTGCAGGTTCACCTTGTTCATTAACAATACCTACAGGCCACTCCTGCTGTGCTCCTCCTCATTTATATGGGCTGCCCAGCAGCCAGCATTGTCTGGTCAAAGGTATCTTCTACCCATTTTCCAGCTCCATCCTACCCTGCTGCCAGGTAGTTCCCTCCTTATTTCCTCTTTGAGGTTAGTTGAAGGACATCTTTAGATCAAGTACTTCCGAAGTTTAGCATATACATCGCATGACTACTGACAACTTCAAGCCAAATGGTGCTTGGGCTCATTTCTGCTGGTGCCAAGGGATATCCTCTGGATGTGGTGCAGCCACTGCTCCTTATGGTGGCACCTTGCAAGAATGTTTGTCACCTCTTTAAGCAGATGATACCTAAAGTTCCTTGTAAAAATTGTGAAGTTCCTTGTAAAAAATACCTTCTCCCAAGAGGAACATAATTATATTGTCCTTATGTTAGTTAAAGGTGCTGGTCTCCATTGGGTAAATAGTTGCTGCTCATTCTCTCTCTCTGTGTTATACTTAAGAGTACATTAATTTTATACAGTTTTAAAAAATACAACCATGAAATAAAAATAAGGACTATGCAGTAATAAATTAATATTTTTATGCAAGCTATGTATGCTTAGACGCTGTCTCTGTTTTGTGTGTTTCTTTAGGAATGGCAAGGAGTTTACTATGCAAGAAGGAAATCAGGAGACAGTATCCAGCAGCACGTGAGGATAACACCTGTGGTCGGTCAAGGAGGGTAACTAACTTGTCCAGAACATAATTGGTTTCTGGGTTTTAGGGCCTTCTCTCTGTTTTCTGCATCTGTAAGTTTGACATGAACCTCCATGTATTTAGCAACTGGGCAACCCCTGTGTTTGTGCATGTGCTTATACATGTTCCCACCTTCACAGTTTAGAACGGACACATTGCCAAATTCTTCTCCCACATGTGCAGGAGAATTCCTGGACCAACAGAGGGATCAGGTGTCCTGCAACAAAAATGTCAATGTCATGCTGAAGGAGTACTTGTCACCCAGTTGTCTTGCTGGTGTTGGGCTTGGTATCTGTTTTCCTAAGGGCAAGGAGATCTCTCCATTAGAAAATAGTAATGTATCACTTCACTTCTGTCTTTACAATGTGATGTGGTAACAAGAGATAATTTCTGTTGCTAGGAAAATAAGACACTTTGTGTCCCTCAAAAGACTGCATTGTACCAATGAAAACAACAAACAGGTATTGTATTTCTTTCATGTGATAATTTTCATAGCTTTTAATGAACTGGTATTTTTTGGCTTATAAATTATTCCAAGAAGATGTGAGCTATATTGTCAATGAGATTCTCACTGATTGTTGGAGCAAGCAAGGAAATTTCAACATTTGCATGCATTAGTCTCTGTAGGACTCCTGAGAAAGACCACCTTTCATTTTGTGGATCATGGATATGACAAAGTTGAGTCCAGACTACTGTGGAGCAATACAGATCACAGTTCAAAGGGAGTTCAGGGCCTGTTTTGTAGGGCTGTTCTTGCCAGTCTGATCTGGTGTACTCACACCAACTAATGGCCCATGCTCAGTGGCCCCAGGGTTTGACAATGTGTGGTACTTACATGAAGTGTAGCCCTCATGCCGACCCTGAGACTTCACACACCTGCCAGAACAGGTGCTGGAAGGGTGCAACTCAAGCCATGACCCCAGTAAACCAGCAGCATGGCAGAGCTGAGTCTCTGCAGTCCAGACAAAAATCCACACCAGCTGCTCCTGCAACAAACCTGGTGGTGTGGGGAGCTGTTTGCTGTCATCTTCTCCTGGCTTCCTCCCTCTGATGGCGTCTGAGGCAAATGATCATATCACATACTTTGCCCCAGAAATACTCTAGTAAGTACCATGTTGAGTAAAGAAGTTTGGACTTTCGTGAGCAAAAGAGTGAAACCTCTCTTTGGCATGTTGCCTCCAGGGGTGAGACAGAAAGCAGCTGGAAACATTTTAGACCAAGTATGTGCTCTGTAAATAGGATATGTTTCCATGTCATTTAGGAGAGGGGTTATGTATCTTGTTTTCTTCAGAATTTTATGTGCTTTTATCTGTGATGTGGGTAAAGACACTTAGACAGGAAAAGTATTTAGAAAGTCACTGGTATGTCTAGTTGCTCCTTCTTCAGTAGAACAATACTGAATATTGACACATTACTGGAAAAACAATACTTCTAAAATAATTTACTAGGGGTAGCATTTGACTGTTGAAACCATCCTTGCACAAGTTTTTGTGGAGGTAGGTAGTAACAAATCAAGGAGAACTCTGCATAATTATTGGAAAAACTTCGCATGTCTATCATTGAAAATAAGACTCATAAGAATTTTAAACCAACTTCATCTTTGAACTTAAACATGTATTTTAGTATTAGCAGCAAAATACCATTTACAGTTGCAGGATGTTTTAAAATGCTCAGGCTAGAGTGTAACAGAGTTCTATAAAAGCAGTGATAAAGTTTCATGTATTTTTAATTCATTGTTTAAACTTCATAACTGTTGTTTCATTTATAGATGCTTTGATGTTGATTTGAAAGTAAGACATAATTTAATGGCTTTTTCTATATTATACACACAGCTGAAAGACTGGTACAAGGAGGTGTATATATATGATATTCTTAATGCAAGATAATAAATATTGCAAACTTGTATCATATGTAAAAAATAGCAGTAGAAATATAAGAAAAAAGTAAATTTTTTTGTCCTTCTTTGCCCTGTAGATTGGACTGCTTAAACCAGTAAGAATCATACAATCACAGATTGATTTGACTGGAAAGGCACCTTAAAGATCACCTAGTTCCAGCCCCCTTGTCACAGGCAGGATCCACTAGACCAGGCTGTTCAAAGCCCCACCCAACCTGGCCTTGAATTTCCAGGGACCAGGCATCCACAACTCTTCTGGGGAACCTGTTCCAGTGTCTCACCACCCTCACAGTAAAGAATTTCTTCCTGATAGCTAGTTGAAACCTACTCTCTTTCAGTTTGAAACCCTTGCCTCTTGTCCTATCACTATATACACCCTTGTAAAATTGTGTTTTATTTTCTTGTAGGCCCCTTTAGTAATTGGAAGGTGCTAAAAGATTTCCCAGTCTTCTCTTCTGCAAACTGAACAACCCCAACTCTCTCATCCTTTTTACAATAAGAAAGGTGCTACAGCTCTCTGGTCAGTTCTGTGGCCCTTCTCTGGATCTGCTCCAGCAGGTTCGTGTGTTATGCTGGAGGCCCCTCCAGCGTGCTGTGGCCTCTCAGCAGTTGTGACACCACAAAGCTTGGTGTCATCAGCCAACTGCTGATGATGCCCCTGGTCCCACTGTCTGTGTCCCTGACAAAGATGTTACATAATCCTGGCCCTCGTGCAGACCCCCAAGGAGCAGCACTCGTCACTCCTCTCCACCCAGACTCCTGACCATTGGCCACAACTCTTTGAGCAGGAGCATTCAGGCAATTCCGTATCCACCGAGTGATCCACTTGCCAAATCCAGGTCTCTCCACTGTAGAGTCAGGGGTGTGCATGGAAGCATCAAATGCCTTGCAGAGGTCCAGTTAGATGGCATTCTCAAATATGTCAGGCATGATTTGCCCTTAGTAAAGCTCCTTGTTGTTAGCAATTATCTTCTTATTTTCCATATGCCTTAGCATAGTTTGCAGGAGAATCTGCTCCATGGATTGCAGGGCACAGAGATGAGACTGGCCTGCCATTCCCTGGGTTTGCCTTTTTCTTTTCTAATCTTTAGAAATTACAGTTAAATAAGTTTCCCCATTTCCAGTCACTGGAAACTTCACTGGACTGCTATGACTACTCAAATCTGATAGATAGCAGTTTAGCCACTTCCTCCACCACTCCCTAAGGACTCACAAATGCTGATCACGTCCTGTAATCTTGTGCACCTTCAAGTTCCTTGGATGTTCCCAAACCTGATCTTCTCCTACAGTGGGTGGTTTTCATTTTCCCAGTCCCTGCCTTTACCTCCTGTGACTAGGGAAGTGCATGTAGTTGGAACACTTGCCAGTGAAGACCAAGGCAAAAGAGTCAGAGAGTACTTCAGCCCTCTATGTGTCCCAGGTAACCACATCTTCTGTTTCCTTCCAGAGAGGGACCACGTTTTCCCTAATCTTTCTTTAATTCACCAAGGTACCTACAGAAGCTTTTCTTGTTGTCCTTAATGTCCCTAGCCAGATTTAATTCTATCAGGCTTTAGCTTTCCTAACATGATTCCTGCTCTTCAGACATTCTCTGTATTATTCCCAGGCAACCAGTCATTTTTTCCACTCTCTGTAGTCTTCTTTCTTTTGTTTGCGTCTGTCACTAAGTTCTTTGTTCATCCACACAGGCCTCCTGGCATTTCTGCCACACAGGCCTTCTGGCATTTTTATGACTTCTCTTTGTTGTGAAGCATCATTCCTGAGCTTGGAAGAGGTGATCTTGAATACTAACCAAGTTTCTTGGGCCCGTCTGCTCTCCTGAGGTCAGTGGTATTGAGTTTACTGTGACCTCCTCAATGCCCCGAGGATCTTGTACTCACTCCTCTATTTCATGGGTGCTGCAGCCCAGGCTGCCGTGCTGCCCTGGAACTTCACGTGCCCCATAAACCTCTCCTTGCTAGAGAGAAAAAGGGAAATTAAGAAACAAGGACTTGTTTCCAAGGCAACATTCATATTCTCCTGTACTGCTGGAAAGTATAACCCATTCTTGTCTTCTTAATACTAGTTCATAAGAAGCTACTGGTAAATTAAGCACTGTAGACCTGGGAAGATTTACACATTTGGTGATCCCAGGGAACATGGCTTTCCAAAGGTTCTCCACAGATACAGATACAGATAGATACAGAAGTCTGCCACAACGGTTAAAGACTGCAGCCTAACAGAAAGTATGGTCTATGGAGATTTTAGGTCCCTTGGGGAAAAAACAAGGTGTATTTGATAGAACTATGTAATTGATCTGTTTCACTTCTGTCACAGAAATAGCTCATGCCTGTTGGAGATCCTGGACATTGCAGTTTTCCTAATATCCATACATTAATACTTGCAGCAGTAGAACTTTTCCTTAGACTAAAAAAAATAGGTTCCTTTTCAAGCTACAGATAAATCTTTATGGAAGGAGAAAAGGAAATCAAATTAAATATTTACTTAAGTTACAGACCAGTAAAAGCTGTCATAATTCAAATTTTGATGTCAAATGTCTGATGTTTCATTTAATCAATATAATTCTAAACAGCTTGATCTCAGCATTCAGACAGTATATATTGACTTCAAAACATTTTTACATCATTACACACTGCTTCACCTCAAAAAACATGTATTTTTTGACAGTACCAACATCCTTTGTAAGGGATATCAGAGACTACTGGAACCTTCTTGTATTTCCGTGCCAGATTTATCACATAGAAAGACCTAGCATGTTAAATTTATGCATGGAAAAAAAAATATCTAAAAGAGCATTAAGCATTCTTACAGTGAAGATTTATGAATGGGGAGTGACTTTCATGTGATTATTCCCATGTGCTGAGCCTAGGTAATTATTAATGCTGCCATTGTCAATTTGAGACCTGGCAGGGTAGAGTCTAGTGTTTTCACATTCATAAATTTACAAGAGAGGTGTTGTTTCTTTAAAGAACATATTGACCCAAGATTAACTGTGTAACTGCCCTCATAACTTACCTTACATGGCTCTTTCAGGACATGCCTGCAGAAGGGGAAGAGAAGTATTCAGAACAGAAATGTGGTTTATTTTTTTAGTAAAGCACTTGGAGGACTGTGCCTATGTTTCTGCCAGTTGTGCAGTAGACAGAGATATATCCATTGGCTTTGAGAGAAGCTCCAGGATGAGGGCAGAACAAGCAGTTCAGGTGCCTTGTGTCAGTGTACCATATCTGATGAGATTTCCTTAACCTTACTCTGTTTGGATGAGATTATTTCTCCGAGAGTTTCTACATGGTTACAATAGAAGTGTTCAAGCTTTAAAAATTTTTTTGGATGAAGAGTCAGTTCTTACACTCTCCTGAACAAGATTTATATGGAGCATGAGCAAAGGGTTTCCCTTTCTTGTTTTTTTTTGTTGTTTTTTTTTGTTTGTTTGTTTTTTGGGTTTTTTTTGTTTGTTTTTAATTCATTACAAAAAGCCATGCCTGAATTTTGTGGGTTTTTATTCCTTTCCATTTTCTTCTCTTCTCCTTTCACCCTATGTCTCTCCCTGCCATAGTAGGAAGGAAAAAACGAAAGGTGTGCAAGAATGACAGAGTGACAGAAAAGGGAATTAGTATAATTCCTTTCCTTTCATTCCTGAATAATCCCCATGAGGACCCTGCAGCATGCACAGTCACAAACTGATACAGACAGTAAGAGCACACAAGTGCAACCTTGTCATACTCTCCTTTTAATTGACAGGTGGCAGCCATGGATTTCATGCTTCCATGCAATCTAGTGCTTTGCTACAGGCAGGTGATGGATTTGGTCAGAGGAACCAATCACCATATGACAGTAATGGACTCCTAAATATTACATGTACTGAATAATTTGTAACTACAGTGTCAAGCACTGACAATTATACATGTGAAGTAAGAGGGTATGTGTATCTTCTCTAGTGACTACAAAAAAAAAGTAAGCATTATTCCTGGTAAGCATTATTTCTAGTCTTTCTCCATGACTCCGTTATCTATACTTAAAAACATCACACACCAATTTTCAAGAAATAACTTGAGGAAATGCCATTTCTGGTCAGTTTTCCTATCAACAGCAAAACACTTTCTTCTAAACACATAACAAAGGAAAGGGGTGAGGTGATTAGCAGGTATTAAACTGTCATGAACTGGACAGAAGGATGAAAAGAAGAATGAAAAATGAGAATTTCTTCTTCTTTGAGAAGAATGAAAAAGCAGAGGAACATTTAATCTGTGTTATTGCAGACCAAGCAATAGCTGTACATTTTAATATATGGAAATATCCTATCTAAATTCTAAGAAAGCTTGAAATACCTACTGTTGGAGCTACCTAAAAATGTTTCAGAAGAACAAAGAATTAAGATTTCATGTTTAATTTTTCATTCATGAGAATGATTAAAAACTACTTGAAAATAAAGGTCTGATGAACAACACATACCTCTACCCCTTATTTCCTGGAGAGTAGTTTTTATAACTGAGTTTTTTGAAGTCCAGTTTATCAGTTATCCATAAAAAGATGCATTCAAAATTAGCTTTAACAGTTCTAAGAAAATTATTTTTAAAGCACAAAAAATAATTTTATAGGATTTTTTTATTTTATTCTTTCAGGTTCATATGCAATTTGCACTTAAAACACTACCTAAATGAGTTCTCTTGTAAACACAGGCATTAAACAGGAATTCAGTACATAAAAGCACTTGTATCTGTGGTTTTCTGCATGGAATATCTGTTCGCTTTCATATTATTTCTCTACATCTAATTACACCTGAAGAAGAGTCTTTGCCAAACATTTTTTTTATAAATAGCTGAGTGGAAAATGCTGGATATGGACAGTGTTGAATGCAGCCTGTTTAAAGTTTTTTTGTATTCTTTTTTCTTACATATGTATTTTACTCTTATCTCCAGCTCTACAAGAGTCACCGTGAGGATAAGTACACAGGAGACAATTCCCAGTCAGGTTAGAATATTACCATTTACCTCTACATTCCGCTGTGCTGAAGGTTGTGTTGGGGTTCTCTGCTGGTATGAATTGTTGTCTCTTCCCCCTGTCCAGTCAGTGGTCAGAGCTGATGGCCAAGGACAGATGTCATCTGATACCACACCATGAACTGGACTCGTAATCCTCAATAACTGAGTCTCCTGTGCAGACCTCTTGCTGTGCATTTGAAGTTCAGATGCATTGCTCTGTTGTATTAAAACACTGTGCTTGATCCTGTGGCCAATGTACCTTGGCACCTCTTTGTGTTTGAAATGTGGAATGTCCTGATTTGTGCCAGCACACCTGCCACAGTGTGTCCAAGTTTAGGACCTGTCAGCAGGCCACTGGTTTGGCCCCAGCACAGGCTAAGACAGTTGTCTCTGAGATGTCCAGGCCTGAGCAACTCAGTTCCAGTCAGCACTGAGTTGCTGCAGCATGTCTTCAACCCTTGTCTTGTGTCTCAGGAAGGTTTGCTTACTCACAGACAGCACACTCCAGCCCTCCCTGAGTTTTGCAGAGAGCTTTTAACTAGAAGTATAGAGCATAAGGGAATAATCCCTTCCTCCAGTATGTAGTGTTTGGAATACCGCTTTTCACTGAAGAAGGACGTACTTAAGGCAAATTTTAAGCTTGTGACTCTAGCGGTCTCAGCCAGACTGATGGCTTATAATTATGAGTGAAAAAGTTCTCATGCCTTGTTACTTTCTGGCACCTGAAACCTTTCCTGCTATGAAAGGTCAGACAACGTTGCTGTGTAACTTCAGGCAGCTTCTTGTTTTCACACAGGAGGAGGATATAGCATCCCAAGAGCATGGGACGTGACTGCTCGACATACCCTGCTCTTTCAAGGAGCCTAATACATACAAATATCTGAGGGCTTTGTGATGCCCCATAACAATGGGCAGGGGGAAGATGAGACAATAGGAAATTGGCTGTCCTCATTCCCATTGCTGCCACCAGACCTGATCCACAGTATGTTAATCCGTTTGCTCCTGTATCCCTGTAAGAAAATCAGATTTTCTAGATTTTCTTCTCACTGTTTCTTTCCTGCAAACAAGAAGGTGAGGAAGACCATAAATTAAGCAGGACGCTTTTTACTAACTAACACATTTATATTAGTTTACTAATGTTTTAGGTTAGCTCATTATTGTGACAGATTTCAGCAAGACTGGGAAGCCCCATACTATGACACCACATTGATGACTACAGTGCAGTGAAAGTAGGCAGTCTCAGAGCTTGTGATGTAGGTTATCCTTCCCTGCAGCCCATGGCTGTGCTCCAAGAATAACTTCTCAGAGCCACGGGCATATACCAATATGTGATGAGAATAGAAGAGTAATCCACGTGTATCATTCTATTTGCAGTGGTGTGATGTTTGTAACAACCTGGGTAATAAGATTTTCTGCTCACCAGGTGAAGAAAAAATTTTTACGTAGGCATTTAAATATTTACAGATGAAACCATAGTATGGCAGAGAGTAGTTTTTATGCAGCCATCTGTGAATGTTTGGGTGGCACTAGCAAAGTATCTGACTTGCTAGTTGGTATTTAACACAAGGAGATTTGTTTTGTCAGCTATAGCCACTCACAGTTATGTTTATGTGTAAATGCTTGCTCCCACTCAAGTACGGTATGATAAACTCATCCAAATGTTAGTGCAAGAATGCAGTTTGTAAGAGGAGTACTATCAAATAAATAAACTATTTAACATGCATTAGCTATGCCCTGCTCTTTGGTGTCAACAGAGGAAAATGCTTTCAATTTCTCCAGTTCAGACTACAACAAAGAAGACCCAAACTGTCTCATAAGTCTGTGGTAGAAAAAGAGAATTAAGACAGAAACTATTTCAGTAATTTTTAGGATGGATGAACTTTTAATTCTGGAGAATTGTATGTTAACATTTTATTTTGCTAAAGAGACGCTGCATACATCCTGTCTTGTGACATTATAATGAAACTTCATCTTTATGTTAAGAATATCAAAGTCATAATATTTCTGACTCATCAAATGGTTTTACCCGAGCTTTTGAAAGCCTGCTAGGGTCTCTGATCTTTGAGTGGCATTTTAGATACCTTGGGAATAGGTACTGTAAAGACTCTTGGAAAGTGGTGAATAGATGTATGGTTGCTGTTTTTAATCATAAGGGAGAGTGCAGATTTAATGATTTGGAGAAAAATGAAATTTTACCAGAATTTTTTTTTGGGGGGACTTCTTACTGTCATTTCATCCAGCTTTTGAATTTGACTGGACATGATAACTTCTGACTTTAGCAAATAGCAGTTTCAAGAATAAGTTTATTGCATGGCTAATATTCAGAAGAACTAAATTGATTGTTTAATTATTCTCAGCATATTGGATTTTCCTTAAACACAGGGTACAAATACTTATTGCAAATAAAAGCAAAAGCTGTCTGCATCTGAACTATGCTTTGGCTTTAAAAGTGTAGAGTAAGATGAGACTCTTCTCAATTAGCTAAAGTTTTAAGCAGTTAAACTCAGGCTTGTTCAGTGGTCAAAGTAGAGCAAAAAGAACTTGCACAAGGGGTTCAGCCCACCTGCCTGAAACATCTCTTCTGAAGCAGGATGTCTGATAACCTTAGATGATGACAGCCTGCATTTAGGGAGCTAAAGTTAGGCGAAGCAGGTCTCCTGTTCCATAAGGCATCTTGACTTCCTTGCAAACGACTGTTCAAGGTAACTCCAGAGAAATTGCTTTAAATTGATAAGACACTGTTCTTGTTCTGATGTGCAGAAATTGCAATATTTCCCCCACTTGTTAAGATCACTTAATTAAATTTCCAAAATTTTAGATGGATATTTTGTAGAGGTTTTACTTGATGCCTTTTTAAAACTTTTGTTTTGTACTTACAGAATCCAGTTCTTACAAGGGCAAGAACAGAAGGAAAGATTCAGTTGATATTAAGTCAATAACATCTCAAAGTAGTGATGGTAAGAAAGCAAACTGTATGTACAATACTATAAATATACATTAATATATATTTATAAATAAATAAGACTTGGCTTGGGCAATAAAAGAACAAAAGAATGACCAGAGAGATTCACAGCTGGTTAAAAAGAGATTACTCAATTTTTTTTTGTAACTGCTGTAAAATTTCTTTCTGATTTGCAAAGCAGTGCCCCAAAATAAGTACCAGCATTGTTATACAATGCATGACAGTGCTGAATGCCTTCACATGGAGGAGGAGTGACTGTGCCAAGGGATAGAAGCAGCTTGCTGAAAGAGTATGTGATGAAGTATTAGTGCCACCTCTCTTAGAAGACTGCAGCTTGTACTCCTAAGCACATATTTTGATTTATTGATGTTTAACTTGAAAGAACCTGTTGCTGCTGGTTACTTGAGAGCAGTACTTCTAATCCCATTTGTGACTGCTTACTGATGTGGGACAATGGTGGCAGAGATTTCTTTCTGTCCCTGTATGTAATGAGAGAAGCACTGCTTATGGGGAGCAGGAATGGTTTTCATTAGAGCAACTGCACCACCAAGAGGAGGGACACACACAGACTTACAGGAAGAGATCCATTGCAGTCAAAGGGCATGAAGTGTAAGCACAACTCCATTCTCAAGTCAAGGATGGATGGAAAATCTGACAGCAAAAATGAGAGGTGGCTGCCAAAGAGACAGACAATGAAGAACTTGCAGGTGTAGAAATGGGACACAAGACTGGATTTCGTTGTGCCATGCCCTGGCCTTTTACACTCTTCAAATGCTGTCAACTGATTCACATTCTGTGGCTCTTTAATGGCAGCTCCAAGCTTACAGACCCGACGGTACTCCTCAATGGCACGGATTCATTCTATGACAATAGAAGCTCCTATCACAAAGGTGAGTCCTGAGCACTGACTTTTCCACAAACTCCAGAGCTTCAAGTTGTGCTCATAGGGAAGTATGCAGTTTCTGGACAGACAATCAGAGGCTTCCTGCACTTTGTATTTAACAGAGTAATAGAAGTAATTTGTTTTTGTTACCACTTCCTACATTTCATCATGGCATTCCAAATGCTAGTCATAAGGAAGAATATTAAGGAGGGGAGGAGGGTGCCCTTGCTAGATGCATGACTTCTGGCAGGAAGGGGACACTGCTCTGTTGGGTTATGTGTGAGTAGGAGGATGTTCTACCAATCTCACCTTTGCTCTCACTATTGATATATATAAGATACCATGCAGAAGGAGGAGCACCTGCATCATCTTCTCTCTCCCCCACTTTCTGCAGCCTTCTTTCACTGTGTTACACAATTCTGTTGTCACAAATCAGCTGCACAGTCACTTGTAACACATAAATTTCAGATCATTTTTTCCTCTCTCCCTATCTTTTCTTGCTATCATCAAGCTCTTACTTCCCAGCACCACTTACATGTGACAGTAAGAGCAACTGTCTCCTTTCCTTTTCCTCAGTCATATCCACAGGGAGGCTTGTAGTGGCTGTGCCTCTGGCTCCTGGAGAAGACAGCACTGGGACTTTCTTCCTGTCATTCTTGGCAGAGCCAGGAGCAGTCACTGATGCATTTCCAGATTGTGGCTGAGGCACAGTGTGGGTTTCAAAGAGCCATCCTCTTCTCCCACAGTCCAGCACTTTCTGCTCTCTGCCCTTCTCTTCTACATAAAGAATATCATGGTATAATATCAGTGAATCTGAGTCACATCCAAGAGTTTGTTTGTTTGGGTTTTCCTTCAGGGATTGAATAATTTGTTTCAGAGCAGACCTGGATACGCTGAAGTACTGGGACATTGCTGGGTTTTAGTCCATCCACCAGCAACTATTTCAGATAATTCACACCGTTCTACTTCCATTTCCCAGGAGTTTGCCAGTTAAAAATAGCAGACAGATACCAGGAAATCTGAGCACAAATTTACATTTTCAGAGTTGTACTTCAAGGATTGTGGGGAATTACATTGCAATTGATGAGAATTAGCATAATCAAGACAAGAATAAAAATATTGTAATAAGAAAAAAGTGCCGTTCACTTTTATTTGCCTGCCTCCTTAATCTGATTTCAGGTTATAAACATAATTAATGCTGCCCAGGAAAACAGCCCGATTACAGTAGCAGAGGCCTTGGACAGAGTTCTGGAAATCCTGCGGACAACAGAACTTTATTCCCCTCAGCTAGGTACCAAAGATGAAGACCCTCACACAAGTGATCTTGTTGGAGGTCTGATGAACGTGAGTAAAATTAGTAAAGATGAAATTGCTGGACCAGTGTCCTACATCACAGTTCACTGCTCTGCTGTGCTAAAATTTCCCAAGCAATGGGAAGGGGACTTGTAATTCATCACCATTTCAGTTAAGTATTTTGGCCTCTTTACTAGCAGTATGCAGGATGTAGTAAGCTATGGCCACATTTCAGTCCACTCCATGCATTCATCCTCAGATGCAAGTGAACAGACTTGCCACCAGAAACTATATCCAATCTCTCAGAAGATACTGAAGGAGATACTTTATAGAAACTCTAGAAGCTTATATGGGATTAGAGGGATTGCTCTATAGTTAGTCCAGTGTATCAGTGAGGTTGCTTTAATCAAGCCCTGATTTTGGTCCTGTAACAACAGCAAGAGACTAACTATCTTAATTTTGTCATAGATGTACTAATTTTTTAATAGACATTGAGCTAATCCCCACCAAAATAATATAAAGAAAATTAAAAATAAATTATAATGTCCAATTTGAATGATGGAGGTGCCAGTGAGAGGGTCAAGGTGGGCAATACACTTTGTATTTAATATCTTTTCTGGAGATCTCATACCAGTGTTTCAGGGATCCTTTCATGTTTGTTTTGAAAGACCCTAAAACCACAATTATGCTATAGAGCTGCAATAAGAGCATTGCTTTTAGTACCCAGGAATAGTACCTAAAATGCATATAGTGTTTTTGCAACTAGTGTTGCAAAAAAAACTAAGATAAACTTGCTTTCTTTTTCAGGATGGCTTGAGAAGACTGTCAGGAAATGAGTATGTGTTTTCTAAGAGTAAGCCACCACTTTAAACTTCCCTTGCACATGTGACTTCTTTTGTCAATACTGCTAACATACACCTTCAGGCTAATTTGCAGTGGGATGTATGTCTCTGGAAATGATCATCTAAATGACTGCAGCACAAGTGTTAGGCTGCCTTGATTTTGGAATTGAAACAGGCTCAAACAATTAAAATAATGTATTTCAAAATGTTAGCAAGAAACAAAATTGTCACTCAAAGAAATGTTCACTGATCTTTTTGGTTTATGTTCATATGTTCTGTAATAAACCTATTTTAGGCAATTACAGACTTTTTCATATAAGGAAAAAAAGTTGTTTTTCTTGAAAAAGAGTTGCTTTCTAAATGGAATTCTGAAGAGGGGCTGTGGTAGAGGGAATAACCCAGAAATGTGTTAATTCCCAAATTCCATTTCAACAGATATGAACCCAAGCCATAGTCACCTTCCAGTGCCAAACACCATCAGTGATGTTCCACCCTGTATTGCACAACTCCTAGAAAACGAGGAAAGCTGGGACTTCAATATTTTTGAGTTGGAAGCTGTTACAAATAAAAGGTACTGGACTCCTTTCCCGGGGTGCCCAGAGAAAGTTTATTGAGGAGCTGTAGCTCTGGAAAAACTGCAGCAAGACATAGCAAATCTGTGAGAGCTGTCTTGCTTGACACAGATACACTCTGTCCGAATGACACTGTTCAATGTAGTCTGACATTGCCACATGCTGGATGCCCTCCCTTCTTCTTGCTCATGTGCAAATGGTCTTGCTGGAACAAGCAAACCTCTCCCCTCCTCCCCACCTAAATCATCCCACAATTTGGGAAAATCTAAGGCAACTCTAGCTTTTGATTATAGGGATAAAAAAACGGGATGGAGAATAAACCAGTGATAGGATCAACAGACTGACATTTTAAAGCTTATAATGAAAACAGACGTCAGTAGTTTTGAGGTCATGCAGACCTCAAAAATAAGCACATCATCCAGACAGAAAAGTTGTTTTCATTCCAAGACGCAAAGAATCAAACAGACTACCCATTCTTATGTACTCTCTTTGCATAAAATAGCCATTTTAGAAATTTGCATTTTCCTGGTTTTAATCTGCAGGTGTTGGGGTTTGGTTATGCCTTTCTCAGCTCAGAGGCTCTGTAGGTCATCTTGCATGAGTGAAAAATCTAACTGATGGATAAGACTCTCTCACAGGCAACACAGAGTAAAAGACAACCCAGAGTGGATTTGGATTTAAGAATCAAAAAGATTAGAAGTTTTACTCTGTTTACTGTTTCACACATGGGATTCCCAGCATTATATAAACACACACACACACCTACCCACACAGAGCACTTTACAACTGAAATTTGACCTTTTTTTTTTTTTTTGCTTAGGACTTTTTAGTCTTTGGCATGTGCTCATGTCATGTTCAAAGTCTGCTTTTTTTCCTCAGGAAAAAAATCAATGGAATTTTGTTTGATTAACAGATACTAACCACAAAAAAAAAGGGGTTTTAAGATGCTTTATCTGAAGCCACAGGAATTGCTGAAGTTCTAATGTACTTGTACCATTTCCATGAAACATTAAAATAACATCTGAAAGGATGATAGATGCAATCATTTGTAACTTTGGCCCAGCTTTTTAGAGGTTATAGATATGCAACTTAAAAATGTTCAGCTATACCCACCCCTTTTAAAAGTCTTGGTTTCTTTGTTCAATGTATCACTTTTAGAACATCACAAGTTCCTATTTTACAGCAGTGCTTTTTTCTTTTATTGTTTTTCAGGCCATTAGTGTATTTGGGCTTAAAAGTTTTTGCCCGGTTTGGGGTCTCTGAGTTTTTAAACTGTTCGGAAGCAACACTGCGGGCATGGCTGCAGGTCATTGAAGCCAACTACCATTCCTTCAACTCATACCACAACTCCACACATGCAGCAGATGTCCTGCATGCTACTGCCTTCTTTCTCGGGAAGGAGAGAGTTAAGGTAGAACCATCACCTAGGAGTTCTTTGGGTTAGGATTTCAGCGTGTTTGCCATTTTATGTGTGTCATCCAGAAGTCAGATATTTAAATAATGGTCCTGTCTTCATGAACTCTTTCTGTCCTTGAAGTCTTCCTCTGATGCAAGCAGGCCCACACAGTTTCTCTAAAGTCTGTTTATACAAATTTACGTTTTTAAGTAGCAATGATGGAGGTGGGGAGGGAACCTGGCTCTTTTCTGCCTCTTGTTAACTGGCTGTAGGTAACAGTTCTTAATAAACCTTTGCAAAAGCTTTGGAGAGGGAGGTGTGAGCAACAGGATGTGGGGGAAAGATTCAAAGCTGTGCCAGGGGAAGTTCAGACTGGATATTAGGAAACACTTTTTTACTAAGTGGTTAAATACTGGAACAGGCTTCCCAAAGAGGTGGTTGATGCCCTATGCCTGTCAGTGTTTAAGGGGCATTTGGACAATGCCCATAATAACATGCTTTAATTTTTGTTCAGTCCTGAAGTGATCAGGCAGTTTGGCCAACGATCATTGTAGGTTACTTCCAAATGAAACAGTCTATCCTATCCTGTGCTAAAACATCAGAGCTACATTCAGGCAAGCTACAAAGTAGAAGGAAACCACTAGGTCATTTATCCATTGACGAATTCTATGCAAAGATATTGGTCAGGTGACAACAGTGTAAAAAGCTTCACTAAAGAAGGCGTATTTGGATAAGGGTAGGAGTGGAAGTTTTGTGGTAGGTAATCTGTGGGCAAAGTGGATGGAAAATGACTGCAAGGAGATGGGATCCCTTCTTAAGTTTACATTTGTGTAATTGTGGGTACCTGGAAGTTATCAAAAAATATTTACTGTAATTTTTGTGCCACATTGTAATTTTTCTCTCTTCCTGTAGGGAAGTCTGGACCATCTAGATGAAGTAGCTGCATTAATAGCTGCCACCATTCATGATGTAGACCATCCTGGACGGACCAACTCTTTCCTGTGCAATGCAGGCAGTGAATTAGCTGTCCTTTACAATGATACAGCTGTATTAGAGAGTCATCACACAGCACTGGCGTTTCAGCTTACAACAAAAGACAGCAAATACAACATTTTCAAGAATATTGATAGGTGTGTCTGCTGGACAAGGGGAGTGTCCATGTGTGGACTGCTTATTTGACAGTTTGGGGCAAAATGAAAACCTACCTTCTAAACAAGAATACATAGTTTAAATACAGATAATAAAATTTAACCTCTTCTGGAATCTTCTGTGGACATGATTTATAAAAAGGTTTTAATTTTCCCCTCACCAGCCCTTCTTCCAACTTGTAATTATTGGAAGCTTAGAGAAATATTTAATAATGTTTTATGAATTACATTAACTTGGTCCAGTTAACAGCCTCAAGGCTGCATCTTTGCCCACTGCCTTTTCATTGAAGGAGCCTGGGCTTTTTTGGGGTCTGTTTTACACACGAGCAGCTAGATGCTGCACGTTGTGTCTGCATAAGGTTCTATGCATCCCTATGCAGCACTACTACATTCACGTGGAATCAGAAGGGTGGTAGCAGAGGACATGAAGATCTGGGAGAGCTGGAAGCTCCCTGTGGTTGGCTGGGCATGCAAGTAGCCCAGGAGTTGCTACCGCATGACTCTAGCTTTTGTAGGGATAAGGTGAGAGAAAAAGAGCTCTGAAAGAGCCTCACCCCAAAGAGGTAATTGATCAGTCTACCTCCCGAAACACTGTTGTTTTTGAAAAATCTGAGATTTGCATTCCAAGCTAACACTAATATACAGCACAACATATATGGACACATTGGTGCCATTCCTGGAGAAGTTATCTTAGTCTTACAGCATTATGAAACTGAGATGTAAATTTTTGTTGACTCCACAGGATTTTCATTAGGTAACAATTACAGACTGGGGAGAACTTGGAGAGGCATGATCTTGTCCATTCCTCCATCTTAGACTGTTTCTAACTCTGAAGGTGCCAGCTTGTGGCTGAGTCCCTGAGCAGTGTTTCGTAGCCCTGTGGGCAGGGATGAGGAAAAAGGGCTGAGCTCTGTCTGGCAAGCTCATGAGCAAGAACTCTTTTTCTTTCCTAGAAATCGCTACCGGACATTGCGACAGGCCATTATTGACATGGTTTTGGCAACAGAGATGACAAAGCACTTTGAGCATGTGAACAAATTTGTGAACAGTATCAACAAGCCTATGGCATCTGAGGAGACCAGCCCACACGTAAGTGCTTGCAGGACTTTATGCCTTCAGGCATTTCAGTGAGGTTCTTCCCAGGCAACCTTAATTTTCATTCACCTTGTATTAATTTGCATAGTGGCAATGCCCAAATGACACAAATGGATTTGTGGCCTCACATACCAAAGTGTGAAAAAATATGCTTTTTCTCTTTTCTGCTCTTAGTTCATTTAAACACTTCATTTTATAAGCCTTGTGTTAAAAGCCATCTTGTATTCAAGAAATACACAATTGGATGTTGTTTTATATGGAAAATTCTGTGCATGGAGCCAGGTTGGCATGTGTTCCTGTGGTTCTGTCCCCAAACAGTGGGATTTGACTGAGCCTAGGGATGTAACTGAAGAACCTCCTCAACAATTTTGTCTCTGTGTAATCTGGAGTCTTCAAGCCCTGAGGAATAACTTCCTGAGACCTCTCCACTCCTGATTGTACCAAGAGATGTCCAGGCCTTTTTGCATAACAGTTACACACCCTCATGCTCCACCAGGGTTTATTTAATAAGCTGCCTTTGAGCTTCCCATCCCCTACATACCTTCTCTTGCCGCCTCTCAAGGCTGAGCACTCAGGACCTGACCAGGTTCTCCAGGGCAGTGTTACCTGAGGAAAGACTATTGGAAACATGCAAAAAAAATCAGACAAAACTGAAGATCAGCAATGATAAAACCAAAGTATCTTCTGTTAGCTATCCAAAATAGGACTTTGTACTGTAGACTTTCATGGGTACCTTTTACAACTTTACAGACAGCGTTCTGTCATCTGAAATTGCCTGTTTCTAGCGACTGCTGAGCTCCACCCTCCCACAGTATGAGCTGGAAACCAGAAATGCTGCTGAACTTATCTCCCAATAAACATGAAGGACAGAACCACTTGCGCTACAGACTTCTTGTTTTCCCTCAGCATTAGGTTGTTCTGTTCTTTACTGTTAACTGTGGCTCCTTCTGGTTTTGGTCTTGAACAGCAGTTAAGATACAGGGTTAATTTGACAGCTCTTTGCTGGATACCCATGCTGAAAAATGGATTAACTGCTAAACATAAAGTTAGAAGACTAATTCCTGAATTGGCAAAAAACTTCCCCATAAGCCGTAAAGATATTAATTCAGTTATGGTGGCAAAAAATACTTACATTCAGTTTTTGACTCAAGAGCTGAATTTAGCAGTGAAGGGAGGCCAAAATCCCATAAATATATTATTTTGAGAATAGTATTAATGCCATGTGAGCAGAGGTGGAGGCCTTTCCTTACTCCATAATTTACCTGTGCCTTTCTAAACTGTTCAAGACCCAAAATATGATGCCACAGCAGACTGGGTACAACTACCTTGTCACCACCACCTGGTCTCCAAAGCAGTCAGTAAGACATTTGGTAGTTTACTGTCTGGCAAGCAGAGAATTTCTGTAGTAAGTCTGCTGCTCCTGTGACTTCCTACCGTTAATCTCAGAGATTATGTAAAATTTCACCCTCACTGGGAACTGAGATCAAAGATTATTCCATGCTGAAGGTTCAAAATCTGATACAAAGAAAGTAGTTCTTCTTGGAAACATTCTGAACTGAATGTTGGAGACCTGCTTTTCTGTGTGTAAAAGAAATACTTGTGCCAGTCAATTCAGCCCCCTGTGCCTGCCTCAGTTTTCTCATTTAGGAATAAAAATTTAACTCCAGAAACTCCATTAAGTGAAGCAGTCCCCTACCACCATCACCCCTACAATAAACATTCAGAAGTGAGGATTGTTTATGAGCTTACAGTTGATGGATGCATCCCCTATCATTGTCCTCTTCCAAGAGGGCCAGGCTGGGATGCAGAGAAGGTAACATTCTACCCAATAAAGAGTCTGTGGCACTTTATTTCACAAAATTTGATACTAATTTTGAGAATGACCACAACTGTAATATGTATTTAGGCTGTCATTAGTTACTCAGCAAGGCTCCAGTTCTCAGACATCATCTTCTTCTCCAAGTTCCTGGTGCTCTGCATGAAAATGTAAGGCAGTAGACTGGGTGCCTGCTTAGTGCCTAAGACAATGATGCCCTCTGCTAGCAGGGAATGCTGCCACTGGCCCCTGTAACCAGCTCTCCTTTACAGAGAGAAGGCAGCAACAGCGAATGTACAGCCAACATAAAGAATTTTCCAGACAACCAGACATTGATCAAGCGCATGATGATTAAATGTGCAGATGTAGCAAATCCGTGTCGCCCCCTAGAGCTGTGTATCGAATGGGCAGGCAGGATTTCAGAGGAGTACTTTGCACAGGTATGTATATTTTTATGATTTAGCTATTATATTATATAAGGAAGTGCACATTGGCTGATCTGCTGTTCCACATAGGTGTGGAAGCAGATCCTGGTGTCATCAGAGTCCAGATATATGTTTTTAGTTTACAGTCAGAACTGGCCCTTCAATTTCATACAGAAGAATTCACTCAAAGTAATTAGCTAGTTTGCTTATCATGAACTTTGTACAGAAAGTTGGAAAGGAGGTTTTACATTTTCATTATCTGACCAAAACGATTTGATTAGTCCTACTCAATTTAACTGGCTGAAGTTCAAGAAGGTCAGCACTCTAGCTTCTTGTCCCAATACCTTCCCTGAAGACCAATGCCTCAGCTGAACTATTAGGATCGCCCTTTCTCATCTAAGATGGAACCTGAACTACTATCACCGTAGGCAGCATAGTAGTACAGGCATGTGGGCAGTGTAAATACTGGAAGCTCAGCTTTCTTTCTTTGCGTTAGTTTTTCTGACAGAAATGCAACCAGTTTCCTGAAACACTCTTTTAGCTCTTTAATTAACAACTGATAAAACCTTAGCTTTTATTTGCCAGTAATGGTGTGGAAATAATAGCTATGAGTGGAGAGGAAGAAAAGTAGGCCTGCCTACCCTTCATATTCAGGTCACACATATGATAATTACTACTGAAAGAAAATTGTAGCTACTACCTGAGACATGTCTGAATTTCATTTTAATCACAGTGAATAAATTTTGCAATGTCCCAAGAAAGATCAAAGATAACTTATATCTCCCTAGCAGTCAAGGTATCATAAACTAGTTGTAAATTACCCAAATTAAGCACTAGCCTGCTTGCAGCAATGTGAGATTCAGAGAGCTGTTCTCCTGCTTATTAACCTCTGCTAATTTTGCAGACTGCTCTGCTGCCAATTCCTGTTTTAAATGCAGCCTGTACTACTTAAAAGGGGATGTTTTTCCATATTACATTCTAAGAAACTGTTAAGGTGATCTGATCCTCCACCATAATGGGTGCAAAAAAACCAGGCCTCTTCCAGTTGGGAACAGAGTTAAAGGGCATACCTTTACTTCCATTCACCTTATAATCTAATACAAGCAGAGGAAGTAGCACCAGCAACAATCTCTTCTTACTTAAAAGACAAATGGTTTGTAATACTCACTACAGATGTGGGAAAATGAGAGATCAAACCTGTTCTCTGCTAAAGAACTCTGCAACCCCATTTTCCATATTTTTAGCTGGTGTACCCTAATCACCAGATTACAGCATTCTGTCCTGTTGGAGCTAAGTGTGATCACAAGACTGCAGAAACAGAGTATTTGTGAAAGGGAAGAGATGTTGGATTTCAGTCCATGTTCTAAAAAAAAAAAAAAAAAAAAACCACACATGAAACTAAGGCAGATCACCTCAGGGGTTCTAAGGCTTCTCTCAAATCTCCTATTGCAATTAATCTAATGTCTTAACCTCTGCTATTCCAGCACGAAAGTCAGCAAAGCTCGAGTTGCTAACTGGAGTTTTGTCTTCTTAGACTGATGAAGAGAAGAGACAGGGCCTGCCTGTTGTAATGCCAGTATTTGACAGAAACACCTGCAGCATCCCCAAGTCCCAGATTTCCTTCATTGATTATTTTATAACAGATATGTTCGATGCATGGGATGGTAAGTACTGATTTTTCTTTCTTGTTCTGACACAGAGATTCAGAGATTCCTACAGTCCAAAATGACTAATCTCAAGCTGGCTTTGCATCCAGTTTTTTCAGCGGCAGTACCCATATATAAGCAGTACAACAGAGGATATTGTTCAATCATGACACTGAAGCCTGTTTCATGGCACACAATGAAGCTGTGCACTTACCAGGCAATCTATGTAGAGAAGGAGTAATGGCTTAAAACTAAGCTTTTTTTAAATCTATGTGGTTTTTTTCATTTAGCACTGTAATTCTTCTGAGCTGCAGAAACTAAGACCACCCATGGCTGCACGTTAGCATAATTTAATGAAGGCACCATGCATTCAGAAAGAGATTTTCTTGAAAGAGAAAAACACATTAAAAAAATCTTTCCATTTTAGTATTACTTTAAGGAATTGGAAGAACAATAGAGAGTAGGAGAATGCCAATTTCAGATCAGACTGGGCTGTTCTTCTACCCATTCTATAAACATGGTAAAACTCTTTTTCCTATTCTTTCAGCATTTGCACATCTGCCTGTTTTGATGCAACACTTGGCTAATAACTACAAACACTGGAAAACACTGGATGATTTGAAGTGCAAGAGTCTCAGGCTCCCATCAGAAAACAACAACTGATACTCAGTCAAGAAAACAGACCTCTTGCTCTACCAGTTTCACTGTGAATCACTTAACAGAAACTCTTGGCTACAAAGGGGATTAATGTTGCTTTTCCAGTGAAATTAAGACTGCGTGACAAGAAGGAAATATTTTACTCATTTTTAAGCTTCTATGAATTCTACAGAAAAATGTTTTTAGAGGCTATATAAACCTCAGATGACTAAGTGCTCTTTGGAAATAATATTTTGTGGCAGAAAATGTATTTCTGAAACTAGTTTCTAATACTGAATATGCACTTCTTGAATCTTGTAGTTGATACAACTGTATTCACTAATGCTTCACACAACTGTTTTTCAGAGAGAGGGGTAATCTAGTCACCAGGAGAGGAAGAATAGCCTAACAAATAAGGATAGAAACTTCCCACTCATCTAGCATAAATTTGTTCCAATTCTATCAATGTTCTTCAGCCCTATGAACCATACTTCTAAAGAGAACATGCACAGCAAAACAAGTAAATCTTAATAAATTGGATACATAAAAAACTCAAACATGACACCTTTTAAAACACCTTCCTATTACTCAGACTCTCTCAGAGCACCACCTGTTCTTTCTTTTCCACATAAAATCTTGGTAGTAGTCAATGTTCTCTAAAATTAATCATATAATACAGGAAAATAAGCACGTTCTGTCCAGGTAGTGCCATCCACATGGTTCTCTGCCATCTTGCAGATGTTATCACACAAGTTTTCACCAAATTTTACAAAGAAAACTATTGTGGCACTTGATCACCATACTCTTTTATTAAAATGGTGTTTGTAAACATGGCAATCACTTTTATTAAACTGATCTAAATTTTATGGCAAGTTCATTTATTGTGTTACTTCTACGATGAACTTATGACTTTTTAAAAAAAGTTGCCAGGCTATAATTTATAAAAGCATTATAATTTGTACTGCTTTATCCTCCTAATAAAATGCTGATTGGTTTTGTGATGTAAGAAGTACTTCAAAATATGTATATCAGTTGGAAATCAAACATAGTTCTTCATTAGTTCTAAGGCATGAAATTTATGCTAAGGCTTTCAAAGCACAAATGTGTATTTTTGTACATCTCATTTTAATCACACGCAGAACATGAGTTTAAATTTTAGACATATTCTCAGACTATTCAGTAAACAAATACTAGCAGAACTACTGATTTTTAACACTGTGCACTCCAGGCTACAAGCAAGACTGTCAAAGCTGAGGCTGCAGTTAAAGAAGCAGTCCACCTACCCTGTGCTGTATCAAAAATCAAACTGGGTAAAGGAAAAGGGGAAAAAAAAGTAAACAACATAGATTGCTATGGAAGAATAGTGACAATGCTGTTTACTGCAGGTAGCTTACATATGTGCCAACCTTTTTTGTATGTTTTGTACCAAGTTCTGAAACAAAAGGCAACATTCATAAAATATAAGTGCAGAAGAATGTATAGAAGCTATATTTTTGTTAGAATTGTAACAGATCCTTACTTCTGTCACAGCCGAGGCAGGTTGCTGTGTATTAAAATGCCACATCATGTGTATTTGAAGAATGGTGTTTCTGGTGAAGCATGGTTATTCATTCTTTCCTATGATATATGGCAACATTCTTCAGTGGGTTTTTATTCAGAGAAGTTGAACCTCTTTTTTAATACTGTATACTGTTTGCTTTTACCATTCCTTTATTCAGAACTAGTGGTCTTGGTGATTGTACCTTAACTATTCTGAACTGAACACTCATTGCAGCTTGCATTAGAGAAAAGAATTTCCTAAGATTTAAGCTTTGTTAACTTAATTTGTTAAATATAGCAACGCTGTAAAACATATCCATGTAAAACATTTAATTCATAATTTCTGTCACACAGAACAAAATGTCAACAGTGGAAGACATCAAAAAAATAAAGTTCTACTTGTGAACCAGAACTGTGGCCAATGCATTAATACAGAATCAATATAATTGTTGCAGGATCTTGTGTTTCTTCCCACAGTCAGACGAGAAGAAAGAAGAGAGACGAGAGACGAGAGAAGAGAGAGAAGAGAGAGAAGAGAGAGAAGAGAGAGAAGAGAGAGAAGAGAGAGGAGAGGAGAGAGAGGAGAGAGAGGAGAGAGAGGAGAGAGAGGAGAGAGAGGAGAGAGAGGAGAGAGAGGAGAGAGAGGAGAGAGAGGAGAGAGAGGAGAGAGAGGAGAGAGAGGAGAGAGGAAAGAGAGGAAAGAGAGGAAAGAGAGGAAAGAGAGGAAAGAGAGGAAAGAGAGGAAAGAGAGGAAAGAGAGGAGAGAGAGGAGAGAGAGGAGAGAGAGGAGAGAGAGGAGAGAGAGGAGAGAGAGGAGAGAGAGGAGAGAGAGGAGAGAAGAGAGAGAGGAGAGAAGAGAGAGAAGAGAGAGAAGAGAGAGAAGAGAAAAACTGTGTGCATACAGGTCCTCTTTAGTAGCACAGATAAACCAGCACAGATTAATCATAATCTGCCTGTTTTGTCAGATCTCCTCAACTAGTCCAGTTTACTAACAGCTGTTTGTTTCATGCTGTTGTCAGTGCACAGATGTAAAATAGCCACCTCAGAGTTGTAAAAATATTAAGAGTAGGTCTGATATTTACTTCCATGATGTGAACATATGGAATTCAGTGTTACTGCAAGGTGGAAAAAAAATTTAGGGCATCAGTTAGATGCAAAAACCCTCATCTGGTCACCAAAATTCTGCTCACTGCATCTCCCAACAGCAAGTGACAAACTCTCATTTAAGAAAGGAGTAGGATATATACCAATGTTCTCTGTTACACTCAAAGTTCATTTGTAAAACAAAGAACTCAGTACTTTTATGTCAACCATCTTTAAAAGAGGAGACCCTTGGGAGATCTACTGCCAAAGGAGTGTATCTGAGAATAATGGCAATTTTGGTAAATATAAATATTTATACATGCATGTAGGACTATTTAAAGCTGAATTATATCCCTGTAAAATGCACAGCGAGTTTTGTGACTAGAACTGTTCAGTTAAAAAGGTCTTTTTCTCTACCAGGAATTCACTTAAGAGCAGTCAAATAAAAAGGAAATAGCTGTTCTCATGCTATAAAAAGAGATAACAAAAAATACGACCTTCCTTCTCTCTAGTTATAACTGATGATAGCAGGAGGCTCTCCAAAACACCTAAGTTTCATAACCTTTCACTGTAAAGGTGCTGTAACAATGTGTACACACAAGCACTATATACAACCAAATAGTTATTTTGCAATTAAAACAAGGAAAAAGATCCAGAAAGACATTTTATCTCCCCAGCTCCTCCTGTGTAAACCAAAAATGCAACATCTGCTGAAGAAGACAAGCTGAAGCAATATAAGACTTAACATGCTTTCCTCTCAAGGTTAATACCATATACCCAAAGGTGTGTTATCCTCAGCTGCAATCCAAATGCCTTTCCTACATGAATCAACAGAATTGTCAGCCTTAGCAAAGAACATGCAGCTCAATCTTTAACGCTGATTTAACCTCCTTGAATTGAAAGGAGATGGTAATTTAACAATTCCTCCATCTGTTTTGTGGTTTTGAAATATGTTATTTTGAGCTCTATAATCAAGTAAGATTAGCTGTACAACCTTACTAAGCTAGAAAAAATTACAAGTCAAAAATCTTACTGCCCCTCTGCCCTGCATTCCAGGAAGATTACGGTCTCATAATAAGACTCAAGAGACAAAGGTGGTACCACTCTCCTTCTAAGCGGTGGGAGAAAGGAAAGTGCCCATGGTTGCTGGGGGAAGCAAGTCTGTAAGGCTCTTTGGTTTCTTCTAGGAAGCTAGGAGCTTTCTCCTTTTGCTTCTGCTCTTGCAAGAATCTGCTTAGCCCTTTGTTTTAATCGCACTTACTGCTGCCACTGTATCTGAAGTCTGGAATTACAGCCATGTATTTTCCTGTACTGAAAACAATTCTCATTTATTCAAAGGGAAGAGATGACACTGAAAAGTTGCACAAGACTTATTCCTACACCATTTAAGAGCTGTATCTTCTGAGTAGACCTGAGGACAGTAGCACCCTCTTCTACACAGGTTTACAACCACTAAGTTCCCAAACTTTCCCTTTTCCCTAGCTCTTCTTTGTTCAAATGCTTATGTACCACTCATTATCTTGTCCTCCCTCATGCTTTCTTTGTATCAGAGCTGCATTTAACTTTGCTTCATTTTTTGTTGTTTTTTTTTTCTGGGGGGGAAGGGATTATTTGCTTGTTTGTCTATTGATTAGTTTTTGCTTTTGTGTTTTGAGCTTTATGTTTTATTTTGCATTTCTTTCCCTACTCCTGTTTATCTGCTGCTATCACAGACTCTTAGTACCTCTGTACTTAGCTACTTATTTTTTTAACCCTGAAATACTCTTTATCCTTACAAACTTGGTGCAGATTTCTCAGAAGTCAGAGTTCAGTTGAGAATTTAGTATTCATATGGCAAAACACAGAATATCAACTCCTACTGTTTAAGAAAGAATTTTACATTCTGAAAATTCATGGTAAGGCAAATGCTTTTTATTAGATACAAATTAATTTGATGAATGCACTATGGAAAGACCAAGCTAAACTAATCACATTGCATGCTAAACTTGGTAATGGTGTAATAGTAATGCTGTATAAACTCCAGTAATGTAGGCTAATCCAAGTAAAATTGCAGCTACTACTAGTAAACAGTTTCTATGTACCTCAGTTTGACAAAAATCAGAACCTGACAAACTGGCATTACCTACTTTTTTCCTTTTTCTTACCATTTGTCCAGGATATTAACTTCAAATGCAAAATTTCTATTTGAGAATGCTTTCTTTCAGGGCTTTCTGTATACATACAAATCTGAGGCATCAATGAGCAAAGTTCAGCTTCTAGAAATAAATTAGATAGAGCAGAAAGCTGCAGATTTCTTCCCATGCCTTCTTCCTGCACATAGTACCGTGGATGCCCTCAACTGCTTTAATTATGATATATCTAACGTATTTCACAATTCTTAATTTTGACATTCACCCATGATAATTTTAAACATTTGGAATAATATTAGAAACTATTTAATGAGTCATCATTACCTTCAGTCTTTCAAGAGAACACCATTTCTGCTGACGGAGCATAACAAAATTCAAAATCCTCCTTTTGAGAAGAGTAGCAATTAAAAGAATTTCCAGTACAACACATGACATTAAGTGTAAGCCCTACTAGTAGTCAGATTCCCAGATTCTTTACACTCATGTTTACAACACATCCATTTTACATATATACAGCCTGTATCCAAACAATTTAAAGTTTGAGCTGCAAATCACCATTTTGTGCCAATTTTTGAAATAGTGTTAAACTGCGGAGGCTAGATTCTCGTTCACCATCCTTCCACAAAATAATGAGGTGGTCAGCAGAGCATGTAGCCAATCCCAGTTCACCAAAATACAGGAACATCTGCAACAAAACAACTATTATTACCATGATGCTTGCACAAGATGGTTAACTTGTTTAATTATTTAGTGCACAGCTGGACTAAACAAACATATGTCTGAAATGGCTCTGCTTATAAATAGGAATACAAAATTACATACTGTATGTTAGAGATGCCATAAAATTGCTACACAAAAACGAACTCTTTAGTCATTTCATACTGAAAGATCTCAGTTCTAAAAAAAGCAGTGAAGCCTTACAGATAAGGAAGTTAAAGGACAGAATTCTGAAGAAGCTTGTTTCAAGTAAGCAGTACAAGAGTGAATTACTCGCATGAACTCTGATCTGGTTTCTTGGGAACAGAACATTATCCCCCCTGCAACACAGCAGAGTACTAGCAGCAGACCTGGAAAGACCAAACAGCTGTGACAGACACAGGCTTAGTCACACAGAGGAACTCAAAAAAGCAAGAAACACAATACTGAAGGGAAGTACAGCACCAGTGGAAGGGTTTTGCAAGACCAATGGAGCTGACTAATCATGAGTTAAACCCATGACTTCTGAGATCTTCACAAGACTGCCTAAAATTAACTACTAACTGCAGCTCAACATGACAGTCAATGGAACCAGTGATGTCACTATGGCATGCTCACAATGCCCTAATTCTTCAGTTTGTTAAAGGGATCTGTCTGGAGGAAGCATTCAGGCCAAAGCCTACCTGCCCTGGGAACGGTCACTTAATAGCTACAGGGTTCCAGTAGACATAGTCTGCCAAGTCTTTATCTTGGCCATCACATCTCATCACTACTCCACATTTTCTTTCTCAACTGCTCCCATCTTCCCAGAGTTTAAAAAACCCCAAATTTTTCCATATGTAGAACATTGCAGGAAATCACATCCACCATCATCTCCATTACTCCTTTGCTCTGCATCTCAGACAAGACACAACATTTGCCTCTCACCTGCTTTGTGTCTCTTGCTGAATTACACACTATGCCCTCTTGCTAGATAGCAACCTTCCAAGTGGATAAGACCCTCTCCAACAGTTTTTCAAAAGACAGATGGCAGAAAGGGAAAGAGAGCTTTGAAGAAATCCCTTTAGCAGAAAGGTTCACCTTAGCTATTAAAGAAAAGCTTTTAGGTTTTAGCAACAGTAGTCTGAAATCCAATCTGTCTCATGAATGCTTGGGAGCAAAGCTACTCCAGAACCACACCATCCCCTTCTAGCTGTTCTTCCCCCTGCTCCTGCCAAGAATGTATGTAGAAGTCCACTGTAACAAAGTGCTTTGTTGCTCCAATACGTTGTGACAGAAAAGTGTGGAGGGAAAATGCCATTTAAAACAAACACACACTATTTTAGGCAGACAGAAGCATGGAATATTACTGGTTGTACTGCTTAAGTTAAAAAAAGACCTCCTTAATGCTCACAGCACAGAGGGCTAGGCAATTACTCTGCGTGTTTTGGTTTGCGTATTTTTTTTGTAGGAGCCCTTCTTTAGATTGTAAACTTAAGATGAAATCTGGGTCATGTACCTGGTTCCCAGCTGTATTGTCTGCAGTCTCTAAATGAAGCCAAATACTTTGTCAGATTATCTCTAACATTTATGTGCAAACACAGTCATCAGCCATCAGTGAGCAAGTTGTCATTAGAAGATTAAGTCAGTGTGTATTACTGTTTTCACAATGCACTAAAGATACCACAAAATGTGCTCCTAGCCTCCAGAGCCCAACAGTCAAAAGTTACAGTTCAAAAAACACTGTCAAATTTATGTTACTTACTAACATTCACTTTTTCTCACTCTTACTAAAGCTGACCTACCTGCACAGCTGATGAATGACCAATCAAATCACCAACCAGCTCCAAGAAATACACAGGTGTATTCTCCTGCATCTTCTTAGCAGCTTGGTTTGCCTGCTTGTTTGCCCTTCCAAATCCCCACATGTTGAAAAACCCTGAGAGGGGAAAAAAATTTCTTATTTTAACAAAAATCACAAATACCATTTATTTCTTCCAGCTAAAGAGAGAATTACAAAAGCCACATAAAATCTAAAAGCAGGACTCACTGTGTGGCAAAGACAGAAGCACTGTACTGTGCAGCCCTTTAGCATTTTATTATTATAATAATTCTAATCAAGATTATTCATCTTGAGGGAAGAATGAAACAAAGCTACTTGTCCCACTTCATGTAATTTGGAAAACATGCTGAATTATACACCTGGATGAGGCAATACACAGATTTAGGAACAAATACAAAGACTTCCTAAAAGAATGAACTGAACAGCAAAAGTAGATGCAGGACAAGTTAGTGCGGGTGTTTATCTTTGCTCTGCCCTCCCAAATTGTGACTTGTGCAAAGAGCACAAAAATGAGGCGCCAGTCTCTCTTCTGTATGTTCTGCACTACAGCATCTAAGTGCCAGTCCATTGCCTCCTTCCTTCAGCAAAAAACTATCAGCAAATGTGGAGTGTAAAGATAGTACTCCACATGTTCCATTTAGACTGCACAAAAGTACACAGCCACAGCCCCCAGAACTGTGTAACAGCACTGAAAGTAAGAAGTCTGGGTTCTGTTGACAATGCAATTCAGACTTTATTCCCAATCCTTCTTTCAGCGCTATCAGCACATAAAACTAGAATTGTGCTAAACTTGGTGCAAGGGAGATAACTGGTGAGATGAACAGCTTCTCAGTGGATCCCTAGAATTAAAATAGTGCAAATCAACAGCAATATCTCCCTAAGGTTTTTTCCAGACATCTTGATTCACAGAATGTATAAATTTCTAATGTGAAACCAAATACCACTTGTCACTATTCAAATCAGCCTGTCATGAGCAATGCTGAAGACAGAATAGTCCTGAAAAAGTGTTTCTAAATCAACCCAGGCAGCAAAAATACATTTTCAAAAGTTACCAACAAGAGATGAATAGCTAGGTAAACAAGATACACCAGGAAAATTACTCACACCTTGAATAAAAAAAATTCCTACGGAAAAGCAACAATCTGTTGCTGTTCCCAGTCCTTGATACAAATTGTATTGTCCAGAGCACTTGCTGAAGAGCACAACTGCCAGTGTGCAGGGGAGCTTGGTCAAAGAGTAGCAAGTACTACAAAGGAACTGTCATTACTCAAGCATAAGCATGAAATACACAAGAGATGGAAGCAGGGTCAGGCCATTTGAAATTAATATAGAGAGGCTGTAAGAGTAAATAAAAATGAGACAAGGAAGGTCAAGACCCATCTGGAATTACAACTGGTCAAAGGTGTCAAAGACAACAAGAAGGGCTTCCTCAAATACATCAAGAACAAAATGAAAACTAAGGATAATGTGGACTTGTTACTAAATGGAGGGAGGGACTCTGTAGACCAGAATGCAGAGAAGTCAGGTACTGCACTTCGCTTCTGTCTTCAGTGATAAGACCAGCCCTCAGTATTCTCTGATCCAGCAGACCGGGGTAATGCTGGAAGAAGACTTTCCTGTGATCAAGGAGGATTAGGTTAGAACCCATCTAGGCAAACATGACGTTCACAAGTCCATGGGCCCTGAGTGGATGCATCCATGAGTGCTTAGAGAGCTGGTGGACACCATTGCAAGGTTGCTCATGATCATCTTTAAGAGGTCATGGAGATCAGGAGAGGTGCTGAGGATGAGAAGAAAGCAAATGTCACCCTGGTTTTCCAAAGGGGCAAGAAGGAGGATCTAGGAAACTACCAGCCAGTCAGCCACACCTCAATCCCTGAGAAAGTAACAGAACATTTCATTCTGGAGACCATCTCTGTTTACAAGGATGACAAGATGATGATCAGGAATAGGCAGCATGGGTTCAATAAAGGTAAGTCATGTTTGACCAACCTAACTACATTCTACAATGAAACAACTACTTGGATGGATGAGGGGAAAGTAGTCTATTGTCTAGGGGAAAGTAGTGCATATTGTCTACTTAACTTCAGCAGGGATCTCAACACTGTATCCCACAACATCCTCATAGACATACTCAGGGATGTGGGCTGGATGAGTAGACAGTGAGGTGGATCAAGAACTGGCTGAACAACAGATCCCAGTGGGCCAAAATCAGTGGCACAGTTGGAGCCCTGTCACTGGTGGGGTACTCCAAGGTTCAATACTGGGCCCAGAACTGTTTAACTTGTTAATGAAGGTGGAATGTGCCTCCTCAGCAAATTAACTGAGAACGCAAAGCTGGGAGGAATGGCCTACACTCTGGAGTGCTGTGCAGCCCTTCAGAAGGACCTCACCAGTTTGGAGAGATGGGCAGAGAAAACCATCTAAAAGTCAAGAAAGAGTCCTGCATCTGGGGAGAACAGCCTCAGGCACCTGGGGCTGACCTGCTGGGGAGCAGCTCTGCAGAGAAGGACCTGGGGGTCCTGGTGCCCATGAGCCAGCAGCATGACCAAGAATGCCAATGGTATCCTGGGGTGCATTAGGAAGAACATTACCAGCAGGTGATGGAAGGTGATCCTGCCCCTGTATGCAGCCCTAGCAAGGTCTCCCCTGGAGAGTGTCCAGTTCTGGACTCCTCAGAACAAGCAAGCAGGTCAGGCAGAACGCAGCAAAAATTATGAGAGGACTGGAGCTGGACAGGCTGAGGAGAGTGGGCCTGATCAGCTTTGAGAGGGGACCTCATCAATTTCTATCAGTATCTGAAGGGAGGTTTCAAAACAATGGACCAGACTCTTCTCAGAGGCACTGAGTAGTAGGACAAGAGGCAATGGGCAGACACTGATGCACAGGAAGTTCCACCTGAATAAGAGGACGAACTTCTTTACTGTGTGGGTGACTGAACACCAGAACAGGTTGCCCAGAGGTTGTGTAGTCTCCCTCACTGGGAATACTCTAGAACCATGTGGACACAATCCTGTGCCATGTGCTTCATGTGCTCCTGTTTGAGCAGGGTGGTTATACCACATGACTCAGTGTAGAATCTTGAAAGATAGTCTTTCCCCAAGTCTATACTTGGGGAAAATGCTCCCTGTAACATAATCAACTAGCTCTGAGGACTGCAGTGCACAGAGGCAGTATGTGAGCTTGGATACAGCTTCAAACCAAGTCCCAATATAATTCCAAGTTCAAAGAGGAGATGTGGAAAACTTCTTCTTTGCTGCCAGCTGCTTATCTGCAGCTTTTGTCACAAAATCCTGCAGTTACTTATTCTTGTATGGTAAAGAATTCAGTACTGTTTGGGACAAGGAGGAAAGGATCAAGGTTTGTCAGGTGTTTTTTTTTTTAACCGGCTCATACAACTGTAAACTGTAAGTAAGCTTTATGGCACAGCATTGCTTCAGCTGGACCTTTTAGCATCCCATATCAGATCTTGGAGGACTTGAACACACACACTCTCTTCAGTTTCCCTCCCGCACCTGTAATCAGTTGTTTAAACAAAAGACATTATCTCTCTTTAAAAAACCTGAAAGCTTCTCTATTCCTGTATGGTGAATACTGGATTTTTAAATGTTCCTTTCACTCCCCACTACTAGCAAACCTGTTGGAACTGGTTCAGCTGGCAGCTGCTGCTTTTCTCTGAGTTCCCAAATGCGCACACTGCCATCTTCTGAACAGGAGATCAGCTGCCTGTAAAAACAGTTGATAAGCAACACTGTCATGGACACTTACCTGTGCAAATCATCTTGTGATGTTTCTATGAAAGACAGTAAGTGCCTCAGGTTCCACACAAGTTTATTAGAACTCCTAAATGTAGCAGGGTGTACAGATGTTCCACAGAAAACAAATTTCATTAGTAGCAGAAGTATAATAGATGTTTAGAATAAGTGGGAAAATAAACATTTTCAGCTCCATATTAAAAGCATACAGCTATGTAACCCAAAACACAACCAGTCTAGGCTCTGCAAACACAGTTCCTCTAACTGGTTTCTGTAAGTTTACGTTCATTAAGCAAAATCCTATTTTTTCTTACAGAAAAATAATGAAAGGAAATGTACTCTGTTTCATTACATTTAGAACAGCTTAGAACACATGCATTTACAAGACCAAGACCTCAGATTTTATCTTCTGGAAGATTTTTCCCCATTGAACAAGAACATAACAGGATATAATACTATTATCTATAGTATATTAGAGCATATACATATATATGAAGCAACTTGTCCAAATTGTCTGTCAAAACAAATTCCAGCTAGAAATTCTGCACTAAGAAACATAAACTGCAAGTTATTAATTTTTGTTAAAACATTTCAAGTGTTACAAAATATTTAATGAAAAATATATTCTGAATATGCTATATACCTTTGCCTTCCAGAAGTAAAATGCCATTAAGCTATATTGTCACAATACAGAAAAAAGTGCTTCATCAAATCTGATTTTGAAAACAGTCGAGATATTTTCAGCCTGTGTACCAGTAATACTGGAATATAGGTTTTCCCATTGAATTACAATGACAAATTTTCCAAAATCAGATCAACAAGCTCTACCTAATAAAAGCAGCTCAAACTGAAAATCAAGTCCCTGCCCTGGAAATCCAATGTAGCTTTACAGTCTGGCGCTAGCCACCCTTCCAAATTTTGCTTTTCTTTATTGGATTAAAAAAATGTACTATGTTTTCTGTACCTGTTTGGAAGCTTCTCAATGTGCAGCACAGAGGAGTCATGAGCAGTTCTCTGGCAGGCAATCACACGCTTCATTTGGAGATTATATACGTATATGCCTTTCCCAACAGCAGCAAAAACACACTGGAAAGAAAATTCAATAGAGCAACTTACAGAAACAGATACTGAAAGATCACCTTGCATATAATGGATTTCCCATGATACTATGACCTAGCTTGTTTCCGCCCTCATGTTACTGCTTTACCCCAAACTTATGAAATTAGCAAATTATAAAAAGAGATGGATTTTTTAAAAGTAAATGGGGGATATAATGTTATATTCTAAGCAGTAATTTTAAGACTGTCTTTTTATCCTGTTCCTCACAGTCTAAGCAGAAACCAAGGATACTAACCAATTAATACATTTCTGTAATTAAATGCTTACGTTCTTACAGTAAAATAATGTCCCATGTTTTGAAAAACTCTTGTTTTATCAAGAAAAACTAAGGTTTATTCTTAGCTGAAGATAAAGACAGATAAAGAGACCTTGCTCAAGCATTTGAGTTCTACTTAATTCAGAAATGGAACTCTCTCATAGTAAAGTATTACACAATACTGCATCTTGCATCCAATACTCTTCTTCAAAAGACTGCAGGCATTCTATCTCATAACCATCATGACGCAAAGACACCAGAAACAGATCCTTGGACCTGGACTGCTTCACATCTTTTGATGAACTTAAAGAGGACAAGTGTACAATCCTGTGTATGTACACATGATTAATATTCAGCACGAGAAGAGTGCAAAATGTTTCCATTCAGTAAATGTTTGCGGTTTTGAACATGCCTTGTTTAGCTGATGGTGCTCTGGAACACTTCCCTAGACAGCAGCCAGCTTCCATTTACACAACCCAAACATTATTATCTCATACACAATTCACACTACACATCTGTCAACATTCTGTACAACTTGTAACCTAGGGTCTTTTGACTAAAGTTTCCTATATATATTCATCAATGTTTTGACATTGTTCAAAACTCTCTGTTCAGGTTTTTATTCTTTGTTTTTCTCTTATGTGTATCTGTTGTGGGAGCACTGAAACTGAAAAGATTTCTGATACCACCATTACCAAATCAAGACAAAAAAACAAACCACTGAGTCTATTATCCTGGTTTTGCATAAGGTTCAAATTCAATGGCCTTCCACATAACTCTTCCACCTTAAGCCATACAATCTTAGAGCTTTGCAGAAGATGCTCTTCATTGAGCATTCTTCTTTTTTCACAAGCCCTGGCAAAATCCTGGTCCTCTCAAAATCCAAGAAAATAAAACATAAGAAGCATAAATTGTACAGTTCTATTAACAGGCAAGCTAAACACACATATACCAGGACAGCAGATACACTCCTTAACACTGTTTCCTAGTTTTGAAAACCTTTACCATTCCATTTGTTTCTGAATCATGTTTTGCCTACAAGCCCAGTGTCAAACTAGACAAGCATATCTTCTCCAACTACCTGACTACCAAGTCTGGAAAGCAGAGAAAACATATATTTTACACTTATTTATATTTTACCTATTTTTTTAACATGAAGAGCAGTGTTCTGCTTTGAGGTAGCACATAACAAAATAATATCTTAGACAAATACATTTCTGCACCACCCTGCAAGCTCCTTAAGAAGCTTCACAATACAGACAGCACTACCTTAAATGCACCTTCTATTTTGGCGCATTTGAGAACACTAGATCCACCTGTTCTTCCCATAATTCAAAACTCTCACAATGAAAAAAAAGAAAATCACAGCAATTTATTTAGTTTAGTTCTGTGCATGGAAGAAAGCCTTCAGCAGCCCCTGATTCCACACTGAATGTTTTGACAACTTCTGTCCTTCCTCAAATTCTTACCTACTCCCTTAAAACACATAATATGTAGCCTTCAAGCATGGAATCAGTGTTTTGAAGCCAAATTACAGAACTATCCTAAATAAAATTAACTTTTGGCGCATTGATAACAAAACCACTGGAAATCTCATCTTTGAAGGCAACTACATCTTTTTTAGCCCCCCAGATCCCACAGTATTTCTCTCTCCAGGGTTTTAGGAAAGTTCTAATTCAGAAAGAGGCAAATGCATCAGGCAACTATTTGGTCCTTACCCTATATTCAGGCTTTTCCACAGCTTTTATTTTGTTACAGCTTATATATTTGAATCCATTTCCAAGAATCTCTTCTTAAACATTCTCAATAACTGACCTACATTCCCCAAACAAAATCCCACTGTACATCAACAATCTTTTATTTTGCCACATTTAATTTAATATTGATAACATTTCACAAAATTAAATATCAACCTAAATATTTTTAGTGTTTGTTGCATGATAACTGAGTTATAACTAAGTATTCTGACCAAGAACCTATCTCTGAAGCATGACTATAGTAGACTGGCTCTTGGAAACATATTTGAGTATACAATTCTGTATAGTCCACCTGAACAGAAAGAGCAATACTGATTTACTATTTAAGCATAGACATATGCCTGCTCTTAAATAGTACCCCATAGTATTCTCACAGTAACCTCAGCTATATCTGCTCAAACAGGTGACTACTGGGAAAACTCTATTTCCAGAAGCTGGAATACAAAAGATGCATGCCATTAAAACACACACCCACATTTATTTTTCTCTAGTGGTACTATAAACAAGTAATAAACCTTTGTTAGTCAAAAAGAAATGCTGTTCTTACAATCCATTATGTTAGTTTCCACACCATCAACATATTAAACCCTTCATACAGGTCAACAGCCAATATTTTATATAAAATAGCTGTGCATATTTAAAAGAAGCTTCTCATATTACAACAAGGAAACTGAAAATATAAACCACTTAGTATTCAGTGGTAAGACCACCCTAGCTTACTTAAGAAATTTACTCTGAAGCTTTTTACCTCCTCGTCAGATGTTAAGTGTTGAACTGAAGATTCATGTGGGCTTTGGGATAACTTTATTTCTGTTTGTACATCTGGATGGACAGAGGAGTCCCAGAAGTTGCACTCAGATGCCTGCTTTGTCCAGTCAAGTGCATCCCAAACTATTAACTCACCTATGTAAGAACCTGTCACAAAAGTCAAATCTGAAGGCAAAAAAAACACACATAGAAATCTCATATTAAAAAAATAAATTTCACACAAAACTACAACCCTAGAAAGGGGAGACAGCCCATTTATGTGTATAGCTATGTAGAATGTGCGGTGTATAACTGACTGGACAAAAATATCTCTCTTTGAGTAAATACTCATCTAATTACCTGATATAGCTCAGACAAGCTCTCACGTAAAATTAGAATTAGGAAGGAGAACATTCACTGGCCACAGTGCATGGCACAGAGTTGCAAAGGCAAGGAACACCACCGGAAGTGTGTACAAATATCTGAACTTCATTTCTACATACAAAGCTTTTCTATTCCTTGGAGAAGCAGGTGTACAGACATCCCCCACACACAACAAAGTATGTTTTTGCCATAAATAGAAATACTAATCACAAATTAAATGAATGAGTTAATGACAATATTGAAGTAGTGGCTGATGACTTTATCACACGTGGAAAGGAACTTCTACAACAGTATTTAATGCAGGTAGCATCTCGTCTTTTGAAGCCAAACACTGCTTGCCTTTCATAATCAAAAAGGAGAAAATAATGGCAACAGTTAAGCTCAGAAACATGTACCATAGAATCCAAGTTTTCTTTTTTTCAGCCTCTTGTTACCTCTGTAACACAGCGCCTTTGTGCCAGGCAGACCCAAGGATTAATACACACTTTCTACCCCAGCAGTAATACATTTTTCTGGCTGTGGGGTGCTCCATAAAAAAAAAAACAAAAAAAACACAGGAACAAAAGAGTACAAAGAGCTGATATTTGCATCAGAGCAGACAGAATTTCAGGTATTAGTTCAGTATTACCCTTATGAGCAGCATAGATCAGATCAGCTTCCAGACCTTCTCTACAGAGGACCTATATGCAAACTTGAAATCTCCAGTTACTTTAGGACTACAACTGCAAGAGCCATGGCATCGCGTATCTCATTTTAAGAATAAGAAAGAACAAGACAAAAAAAGTAGCATTTTTAACTTTCACAACAGAAAGACCAAGAGTTCCATTTCCATCAATGACATGAACACTTCTACATTACAATTCGCCTGGTTTCATTTCATTATAAACCCATAAGCAAAACAATTATATTTTGTCATAAATATATACCTTTGCAGCTACACAAAAAGGTACATCCATTGTTTACTAAGTTTTACTCCAGTTAAAACTTTGGTTCAAATAAAAAATCCATAGGTGAAATATCCCATTGGTAACTAACAAAACCAGTAACATTATAAAATTATTCTTACCATTAACACTGACTAATGATGAAATGTTATCCTGATGGTCAACAAGGCGCTTTACTTCAAGGATATTCCAAACTTCAGACCCATTGTTAGAAGGACTCAACCTAAAAATTACTTCAAAGATAGCAAAATTGTCAAAATAAATTTTTTCATTTGGAATAAGATGGAGCTATGCCTAAATAAAACAACATTTTCAGAGATACAAATTAAGCATTTTAAGTCAGACCATGTAAGAGCCACTTATGATCACTCATAACATCAAGACACAGGAAGCACTTACTTCAGTGCTACCATTAAGGCCTCTTAACCACAGCAAATATAGGATAAAACACTTCAGCCTAGTAACTTTCAAATTCAGAAAACTGATCAACACCAGAAGTAAAAAATATCAGACTTTATGGATATGTTACTAAAAGTGAAATATGTTTCTTCAGGACTCATCTGTCTGAAATATTAATATTCAAAAACAATGCAATATCCTCTAGTATGGCAACCAATATAGTCAGAAATTAAGACTTTATTTTAATCAGGCTTGGAATTTCTTTTCTATCTCAAGGGTACTACAAAAGCTACTCATTATAGCTTTGGATAGTTAGAGAGCTTCAATAGCTCATACTTCAGATCCCAGGATAAGGAGTCTCTAGAGAATCTGAGTATCTGACAGCTCAGATAAGCAATTCCAGACCTTCTCCAGAAGAACAAATGTCAACTGCTGCAATCAGATCTGTGGACAGGTCAGGTGGCACTAACACTGAGGGAGCTGATGGAAGAGCTCACCAAGCTAATCTCCATCATTTATCATCAGTCAGGAAGGTTCCAGTCAAATAGAGGCTGGCCAATGTGATGTCCATCTACACAACTGGTTGTAGGAAGGACTGAGGGAACCACAGGCCTGTCAGCCTAACCCCAGTGCCAGGGAAAGTGATGAAACAAATTATCTTGAGTGTGATCACACAGCGCGCACAGGACAACCGGGGAATCGGGCTCAGACAGTGTCAGTTTAAGAAAGACAGGTCCTGCTTGACCAACATGAGCCAGTGGGTGCCAAGGTGGCTAAGGCCAGTGGCATCCTGGCCTGTGTCAGCAACAGTGTGGCCAGCAGGACCAGGGCAGTGTTTGTCCCCTTGTACTCCATACTGGTGAGGCCACAACAGCCACTTGAGGTGACACCTCCAGTTCTGTGTTCAGTTCTGGGTCCCTTATGACAAGAAAGATACTGAGGTGCTGGAATTGTCCAAAGAACACCAACAAAGTTGGTGAAGGGTCTGGAATACAAGTCTTATGAGAAGAGAGCGTGGGTAGTTCAGCATGGAGTAAAGGGAGACTTTATCACTTCCTACACCTACGTGAGAAGAGGTCATGGCAAAATGGGCATTGGCCTCTTCTCACAGGCCACTAGTCACAGGAGAAAAAGAAGCGGCCTCAAGCTGTTCAAGGGGAGGTTCAGGTTGGACATAAGGAAGAATTTTTTCACTGAAAGGGTAGTTAGACATTGGAATGGCTTGCCCAGGGATGTGTAGGACTAAGCATCCTGAAGGTGTACTGGATCTGGTACTTAGTTCTATGCTAGTTGGCCAAGTGCTGATTGGCCAAAGCTTAGACTCAATGATCTTGGAGATCTTTTCCAATCTTAATGATTCTATGATTCTAAACATAGAAAAGTTTTGTTTTGTATGTCATGCATATTTCTAAAAAATTCTCAAGTAAGATTAGTATAGTCTCCCATTTGTCAATGGTGAAAGAAAAAATGTTGCTGACCTCACCCTAATACCATTTACTTTTCCTACACAATTCTAGCAGAATGCTCTGCACACATATCTCTCATAAGTGTAGTTATGGAGGAGCACGAACACTGGAAAATCCAAAATACTCACTTAGCTCTTTGCCAACTGCTGCTGCAACACAATTTTTGGGCAATTCAACCAAAGCACTGATGCCTTTGAAAAAAAGAGGTAAAAGGATATTAACTGATTATAAGAAAACACAACAAACAGCTAATTCGTTATTAATAAAGTTTTTAACAATCTTTCCACTTATCAAAACCAAAGTCTATTGCCTGAAGTTAAACAACATCAGAAATGAACAGATTATCTCAAACAGAGGTAAGGTCAGGAGTTTTGGTGCTGAATCAAGCAGAATTTTGAACATCAAACTTGTGGTGAAGCTGAAAGTAAATCATATTTTTATTTTAAAAGCAATTAAGATATTTATGTTCTAATGCAGGACAGTATTAAAAACACAATGACAAGTATTGAGGCTCTAAATACAGGCAGTACCAAAATTATTAGGTACTGATACTACCTCAAGTATATAGAATTCTAACATAATGTGCAGAGCAAGATGAAAAAGAATAAAACATACGATAAAATACCCAGCTTCCTATCATCTTTCTTTCTTCATCCTGCACACAATTTCCCCACCCTGTGCCAAAGAACCATCAGAGGAAAATTCCCCAAGGAATAAACAACCTCTTTCCCCACAAAAGTCAGAGATTAGGACAGAAGAGAGAGCTCATGCCACACATTCCATTATTCCTTGTACCAAAGTTTCAATAGCACTTCATACTAGGCACCACAGTCCAACTAGTATTTAGCATGACATTTCATACTGAATCAAAAGAAGTATTAATACCCTCAAGGATTCAGAAGGCTTTGCCTACCACTACTCTATTCTATGACAAAAGTAAGGCCAATATCAGTTCCACCTTTGAATGTGACTCACAGCTTTGTAAGCGTCTTGGTAAAGTATAGCAATAGCATGCAACAATTTTCTTCACACTGACAGATAATACAGAAGTTTATTAACAGAAAACTATGACTGACAGTCATTTCTGATTATTATATAACTATCAAAACATGCATTTTCTACATCAGAAGTACTGATTCTTAACAATAAAAAAGTAATCTTTACTGTTCTACTATTACAAAGCTTCACTCAGAAATATAATAAAACTCCCACTCAATCACACAAAAAGCCAATCAAAGGATCTGGTACATGTTACAGCAAACACAAAAATCAGCATCTGAGCTCTAGCCCTGTAGTCCAAGATAACGTACAGTTACTGAGATCTGAGATACTCTAAAATTCAAACAGCACAGAACATTAAAAGCAGTCTTAGTTCAGAAACTATTAAATCTGACATTTACAAAAATAAAGAGTGGCTCTAATACATAATGTTATCATTAGAATTAAAATGAATTTTCCAATTGGTTTTGCATCATTATACAGATCCATTTTACTTGCACTTTAACAGCTATAATGAGTCATTTCCATTTTTACCTGCATCAGTAAGATGACTGGTCTTACACAAGAGATCTAATTTTTGGTTCCAAACACATAGATCACTCCCTCCAGACAACCATACATTCAGTCTTTGAAGAACTGTCAAACACTGCAGAACAAAAATCAGATATATTTCTCCTGCAAAAGTTCTTCAGGGAATTTCTCAGTGAAATGATTATGAGCTTTAGTTAGATAAATCTGTAAGTACTATGAAATACAGTATCAAGGTTTTTGAGAAATACATATTTAATTACATACTAATATGCTAAATTTTTCATCAATAGTGTAAAACCTTTAAATGTTGCAGGTCGCCTTTTCCAACACAGTAGTAAAACCAAGTCACAACACTACCTTTGATCTACATTCTTTCAAAAAGAAAACTGAGGTGTATAAGAGTTCCAACAACAAATTAAGACTTATGCCCACTTCTCAGCCACTCATTTTGTACCTATTCTTAAATAAAGCAATGCCATTCATTCTAACACACCTGCCCACATGACCCATAAGCCAGACATAACAGCTTAATGTATAAAACAAAACAACAGACATTCACAGGTTTTCTTCAGTACCTTTACAGTAGAATGGAAACATGACACTTTTTGAACCTGTCTGCCACTAGCGCAGTCCCAAACCTGTCTTTATTTATTAAGGAAACTGAGAGGTTTCTATGTATCCTAAATGTAAATGCTGTTTTGGTAACTAAATGACAGATTAGGAAAGAGGTATGCAGAGATTCAAGTCTCCTAAATCCTGACAGTCTTCTCAATATGGCCTAAATGATATATTCATAAAGGCCCGTTATGGATTTTTTTTTTTTTGTGCCAAGGGTTGTATCTACAACAACTAGTCAAACCCCTGTGTAATACAATTACACCTAATGGGTATTGGTAGGCATTAAGTTTTGAGATGGGCTGCAGCCTGTGTCAATGCTATCTTTAGAAGTAAAAACACAAAAAACCCATGGAATTTTAAATTCTCTCCAGATCAAAGGATACAATAACTGTTCTGTCAGCTGATGCTGTTATAATCAAATCTGTTTTTTCTTCAGTAACATCTGATGAAGAAAATGCTGCTATAGCTGTAATTTTGTGTGTGTGCCCATGAAGTTCATAAAGTTTTTCTCCAGTCTGAAAAAAAAAAGTATGGAAAACTATGGTTAAAATAGAAAAATGCCTACAAGTAGCACAAAATATTGGTATTAAATGACTTTTTAAAGCAAGAATTACTATGAGTGTAAAATTCTTCCTTTCTAAAGACATTTAAGGATTTTCTTCTTACTACCTCAGTACTGTTCAAGATCTTAAATTAAATAACATACTATGAGTAAGTATAAAGAAGTAGAATATAATGCAAATTACTCTCCAAGTAAAAAAACCCTAAAAGCCCTTAATAAAAAAATTCTGTATTAAACTCATTTAATTTTAAGGCAAATATTGGCTAATCATCCTTTTTAATAAATACTATAGCAATTCAAATTTGTTGACAATCCCTTACTTGAATATTTTTTTTTAATCTTAAGTATTGGAAAAACCTGACCTATATTTATGGCCAACCTCCTGCCAGATTCATTTACTATGCACATTATCTACAGATTCAAGGGGGTGTTTTAGACAACTACAGCTACTTCCACTAACATTTTAGTTAAATGGTAAAACCCTACAAACAAACATGCAGAAGAAACTGGCATTTTAGGAATAATTTTAACTGCAAACTTCTTGACAGATGGGGATTAATGTTTTAAATTAAAAGTACAAAGATTTGTTTTAACAAACAAAATAGAAGTCCCACAGAAGTAGAAAATGGAACTCAGTTCATAAAGCTGGATATCCAAATGAGTTTTAAGTTCACAAGCTGCTCAGAATACTGGGCATACATATCCACACACACCGGTTTTAATATTCAAATCCCTTTACTTTTCCAAATTATAGAATTATAAAATTATAAAAGGTCCTCAAAACCAGCAAAGCACTAGCAGAAACTGCTCAAAGGAAAAATTCCAAGTCTCTCATTCTGACCATTATAAATGTGACATAAATTTTTCAGAATATTTTAAAGAAAATTTAAAATCTGCGATTTTTGTTTCCTCAATTGAAAGTCTGATACACTGTAGACCCTTCAGACTTCTTACTAAACAATGTATATTAGACTTCCTTAACCTACGTCTAATCCTCACTGGTTCTCTACAGTTTTGTCAATGATATGGAGAAACAGAGCAGCAGAGCAAAACAGCAGGTGTCACACTTACAGAGCACCATTTGTATGATAAAACTAATGTCTTCTTAAGGTTTTCAAAAGTTCTAAGAAAGTTTTTATCACAGCAAGAAACTAAGGGCCTGTTCGTCATGAAATGTTTAATTCCTACTGACTTTGGTATCTTTTAAATACAATATTTTTGATAGCTCTCCATTAATCAATCATACTAAAGAGGTATTACTAATAGAAATACTGAAATGTATTTAAATCTTACATGTATATAAAAATCCTGATAAGTCTGGGATCTTGCTATATATTTGATGAGTTACAGCATTTCCGCATTTACAGCAAACACAGAATATACTTTCAAAGAGTAATTAAAGTCACAACCTCATACACACTTCTGCTTTTAAACAGAAAAACACTTTCAAACATTAGCTCTGAAGCAATTCCTATTTATTCCACTTTCATTGTTCCTAGACATTTCCACCCCTTCTCTACAACTTCTACCCTGTCCAGAGCACACAGGCCACTTCTAAAAAAGACCGCTAACCTGAGCATTCCACAGAAATACGATTCCATCATCTCCTGCAGATGCAATCCTGGAAAAAAAAAACAAACCAAAGAACCACAACAAACTGAAAACTTCATTACAGTGTAATATAATGGAAAAGCAGTAAATATTTATGGAAGTAAAAATGCTTACAAAGATATATCAGATTCAGTCTTTAAAGAATAAACATGTATTTGTAAATCCTAATTACAGTTTCTAAACTGAAATAGTATATTTAAATAGGTGATTTTCAGCATATACCTAATATAAAAACAGGACTTAAGAATTCCAATAGTGTTATAAAAAAGGGTCTTCATGGGTCACCTCAGTCTTTTCCAGTCATGATCACCATCATCTATAACCTTGTCTGTTTCCTGAAGGAGCAAGAAATGGTCAAATGATCAACAAAAAAATCTATTCTTAAAATGTGCTATGAATTCTGTTTAATTTAATATGTCTAATACTAGAGTATTACTTGCAATTTTATCTCAGTCCAGCTCTTGCTGAGGCTTAGCCTTCTTTAGTGATCTTACAATCAATATGAGCCTTACGTCATATTTAAAAAGTACAAGAGCAAAGAAGAAGAAAACCCAAAAAAAAAAAACCAACCAGCTTTCTGTTACATTCATAGAGGATTTATTTAGTATCTTCAAAAACCAATATGAGAAAATTTTCCACTCACTGGTTTTAGCTGAGCCACTGAGAAAACAAGAAAATCCTTCTGTAAAATTCTCACTAAGATGATATTATCTAAAGACCTGAAGCGTGAAACTTGGCTTACAATAGTTGACAAAAAGCACACAATGGAATAGCTGCAGAAACTAAACAAACACATTTCAGAAGCTGAGTAACAATACTAGACTTACTGAAAATAATCAAGTGAAAAATATTGTGTGTTTAACAATATAGAAAATACCATATCCTTGATAAATAAAATTTAGAATTACTGCCAGTAACAACTGAAACAACTCTATTAAACTCCTCAAACTCTCAGAATACTAACCACCTATGCAATTTACTCATTATCCACATGCTATTTCATAACCTATCTTAAACATCGCCAATAAGGCTTTAGTTTTACAATGATTATCATTACTTTAGCTTTAGTAATTTACCTGCCTCCAAATAAGAATCCAAAATGGTAAAAGATTTTTTTTATAAGACTTCATGTGCAAGCTAAGAATACTGTGGTGTTTCTACAAAGATGAATTACATATATTCACTTTACATTTGAGAAAAACATACTTTGATAAAGGGTTATTTTACTAACTTGCCTGGGGGAAAAAAAAAGACTGAAGAAAACACAGAAGATTCTTCCATTTGAATGCATGAAACTTTCCTGACATATATATATATATATTTTTTTTTTTTTAATGACATTTAAAATAAATACCAGCAAGACAAAAATCTTCCATGGAGTCTTCTGTGAAATTTCATTTTTATACATATATAGTTATATATAATATTAGAAAATAAGATTCTGTGGGCATTTCTGAACTGGAAAACACCACTAGCATGGTCTCTTCCAATCAATGTACATGGCGAGGGAGAGAACCTTCCTTCATTAAACACCTGCTGTCCACTGCAAGGATATAAAACAAACTCTTGGTCATATTAACTTCATGCAGTGTATTGATGACTATATTAGAAATTCCCTTTTGTGTATAATCTGTAAAAGATATAAACTACTACAGCTCCTTAACAGAGATAATCTTGTCTATTACTTATATTCTTAGTCACTAGACATTTTCTATTTAATTCTCCACATCAGTCAAGAGTCACTACATTTTATGACCAAATAAAGACTCCACAACCTTTGTTTTAAGGAAGAAAATTATTTCTTCTCTTGTAAAATTATGTTACGTAAAGAACATGCAAGGTAAATTTAGAGAAAACTAAAATAGAAAATAGGATGTAATGTACAATTGTCATAATTCATTCTCTCAGTCATCTTAGCCAAATTTCCAGTTTTCTGAAAACTCTGTCCTCAGAAGATAGATAACTCAATCTTCAGAAGTTACAGACAGAGATTGTTAGGAAGTATACAGAAAGGTGCATATAGCTGAAACCTGAAGGAGAGAAACAAAGGAACTATCAGGTTTCAAACAAGTATAGCAAGTTGAACCAGATCAAACTGGAAGAGACTTGTAATGCAGAGGTTAGGCATATGGTGACTTGTGCTAAGTAGTCATTCTGAATAAAGTAGCTAAAAACTTTAGAATTTGCAAAGCTAAGAAAACCGCATTAACTAAAGCTCAAGTGAATTTAGCACTACAGTATCAAAAGAAAGTGCAACAAAAGATCAGAAAGGAAAAGCAACACTTGTTGCTGAAGATGCCATGCCCAATTGCTACAGCACATCTGTAGGAGTCTATTACACTCTTTCATAGAACCAGTAGGTAAAGCAACAGCTATCCTCAATTCTGAAACATAGAACACATGCATCCTGTCAGAACAGCAGCAGATAGTACTGTGAGAATCTATGCATGTACAGAAGGCAGTACTCAGACCAGGAACAGACTGAAAAATAACAGCTGAATTAGCTAAAGGAAATTCTTACAAATGAATCTTTACTGAGAAATGTAACATTATCACCATCATTTTCTCATTAAAGTATGACTTAAAAGAGAAGCCAAAAGATACAGTAACAGAGCAAGAAAAGGGAGTATACATCCTTGACTTAACACCAGTTTTTCCAGCTCTCACTCCCCAAAAGTAAAAAGACGGGATTAAAATGTTACTACATTTTTACAAACATATTGCCAAGGACATTGTCAAACAATTTGAAATGGCATTTCATACCTGCAGTCATCTATTTGCACTAGAAATCGCACTATATCTTGATGGCCTTTCAATACAAGGAGTTCCGTGTAAGGATTCTGTATTTGTTCTTCACCAATTGTCTGTACAGAGGATTTCTAAAATTCATAAAAAAGGAAGTAAATTTATTTTGTACTAACGCAATTATTTTCATCAGGTCTTCGTAATGTCTAACAATCTACATACAGATCCATGTGTAAAGTTTCTGAAATACCATTTTGCCTTAAAGCAAATCACTATAAAATAATAATTCCCTGTTATTTCATGCAAATAACAGCTTCCTATAGTATGTATTTAAATTACAATATAGCATTTTCTTTTCAACAAAAACATTTTGTACTGATTTAATCGTTGATACAGTGAGATGAAAACCCAGCTCAGTTATAAGCTGTCATGTGAAGCCAGCTTCATTACTCAATACACCATACATTCAGTTTTTCATTAAAGTACACCTCTTACAAGATGGCTGTGAAACTCTCATATCTTTCATCTACTGTTCAATTTTAAAATCCTATATAAAGACAACATATTTAAAACAAATAAGAACAAATGCCGTTCTGTTCCATAATATATAAATCACCCACTGGTACTCTATTCACAAGATACCAAAGCAAACTGCTTAAAAAAACATAGAGAATGATTAATCATTTTATAGAACAGCATCTGCAATTACCCCCAACTAGACTATTAATTAAAAGAACAATCAATCACTTGGAGCAAGCTGATCACTAGGCAGGGTCAATAAAATACTGCATAGAACTGCATTTTCAAGGCAGAATGGTTCTGCCAATCTCAATCATCATTTTATTTCAAGACAACTTTTTCGTAATTAAGATCTTAAACATTCTGAAACAACTTGTCAGGTTGTTTTGGTTTTTTTTTTTAACCATCGAAATAGCTCAGTGGTTACTCAGTGACAACACCCTCTCCCCTTAGATTTATTTTACACAACAGTCAACATCATACTATTTCCAAGAGTCTCCTCTCTTTGAGAACTTCAACAGAATGTACACCGTAAAAAGAGCAGCTGCAGAATGCTGTACATCCAGCACATGACAGGTAACACCACATGAAACACAAACATGTTATCCTCAGAAAGTTGAACTTTTTATTGCAGGATCAATAAATTATTTTCTATTACTTTGATATTGATACTATGACAATATTCTTCAGAAACTAAGAATGACACAGTTAATAAATATGGATAGAAAGAAACCTGGTTTTTTTAATGAAGAGTTCTTGTGATTTTATCTTGATTTAGTGCTACCTGATGCATTTCATGAAGCAACTGTTCCTCATTTTTTGCAATCACATGAGAACAGCAGTTCCACTTTAAAATAATACAAGTAGAATCTGCATGGCCATAATAACAAATTAATTAACTTGGAGTTCATCCATTATAAGCTAATCAAAACATTTCTTTAAAAAAATGAGAGTTCTAAAATTCCTAAGGAAATCTCAGTATAGCAATACTACAATCAGAAAACATATATTAAGAAAAAAATTTTAACACCATTCTGAAAGACTCAGAATTTGTATCATTACAATTCTACAGTCTGATGTTGTTTCCTGTTCAATACAAGATAGTGTTATTTCTTTTGAACAACATGTCTAATCTTAATTCTAACAAGGCCTGTGAATACTAAAAGGTACAGTGCTTATAAGGTACTTATGCATGAGAACAAAACAATATCTTTTTCCCAATAAAGGTCATAAAAAAATTTATGCTGTCTTCAGATCTTAATTGATATTTACCCAAGTGTTGGGTTGCATGAGTGTTCTTTCTCTGAAGAAATATATTTTTCTATACAAACTACTAACTGGACTCTCCTGTAGCAATCAAGTTTTTGGAGGTCAAAGCTGAATATTGATTTTAATGGAATCTATTGCCAATGTGCATATTTTTATGCATGACCTGTAAGCAACATTGCAGTAATCAGAAAAAAAAAATTCATCTCAACCTCAAAACTTCCCAGGATGTGAAGCATTCACAAAGTGAGATTTTCAAAAGCTATTAATGAAAAACATAGATACGAGAGTACACAGGAAAACTAATCTATGGACCATGGAGCATGACAGATTAGCTCCTAAGGACCACGATGCCCCTGCATTTGAGTGCTCCCACCACCAGAGCCACCCTGCCTAAGACGAACACCACGGCTGCCCAGCAAGTGAAGAGATTCTGATTCCACAGTTAAAAAAAAAAAAAAAAAAAGAAAGAAAAGAAAGAGGTAAGGAGAATTTTCCATTTCACAAATTTAGACTTAGGACAGCTTTGCCAGAGGCCCCCTCTATTCACCCAGTGCAATGCCACTCTCTAACACAACTGTCTGAGGTGACACCACAGGAAACAAACACTGTAAGTCCACAGCCCACACACTGCTGTGGGCTTTCTTACCTATTGCAGAACTAATGGTGACAAAGATTATTACATAAAACAATATTACATCATGCAGCAGGGGAAAAGTCTAGGGACTAACCCTTAGCAATACTTGTTCTTCAGATTTTCAGCTGAGAAGCAAAATTATTACTGTCATTCCACAACTCTGTGAGAGCAAAACAATGAGAAAAAACGCCCTGTGGATTGGATTTAACCAAGGTATGAATGGCAGAACGGAAGAAATGGGCCATAGCTTGATTTGTGCTCATGCTTTATTAAATCACAGTATATAAACCAAAACCAAAGTCTAAACTTTGGAGAGGGACACACAACAATGCAGTTTCTAGCGCATCTTAGAAAACTGCATTGTATTTCCTATCCCCCTTCTAAAAACAACTGCACACAAGCCTGCAAATGTGACTGCAATCCAACTGGCATTTTGACTGATGACAAAAGTCAGAGGTATTTCCACACATCATCATTTCAACCTGGTGCAGACCCAAATTAAGTACAGACCTTTAAAGTCAACCACAATACTGGCATAACTTGCTCACGAACAGCAGCTGAAAAATAATTATTTCCTCATACTTGCCTAGACTACAAAAGCACAGCAATACTTTAATCAACTCTTGTTAAATCCATGCTGAGAACTTCAGCAGAGTCTTAGAGACATGAAAACTCCAAAAATCTCTCCCTCTAATCCAGTAACATTACTCTTAATCTGAGCAGCAGCAAGGATGTCAGTGTATAGTGCACTCCATAACAAAGCATATTTCATGGATGAGGTACTAAGAAGAAATGCTGGAAAACTACTACAAACTACTGTGACACATAAATAACAACTTACTGCCTATAACTTACATTACCGACCTCAGAATCCTGACAGCAAGACTTGCAAGGCAAGAAACACACCATAACTCCCGCAGAGCAGGACCTTAGCTCAGCCGTTCTGCTGTTCACAGAATCAATTTGGTGGGAAAAGACGTTTGAGATGGAGCCCAGCCTATGATAAACATCACCTTGTCAACTAGACCACGTCAAGTCCTTAAACACCTCGAAGGATGGTGATTCCACTGCCTCCCTTAGCACTCCATTCCAGTATCTAATCACTGCTTCTGTGTAGAAATTATCTCTGATGCTCAGCCTGAATCTCCCCTGGTGCGGCTGGAGACGGTGTCCTCATCCTGTCGCCGGCTGCTTGCGACAAGACACCAACCCCCAGGACTACCCCCTCTTTCAGGTAGTTGGAGAGAGTGGTAAGATCTCCCCTGAGCCTCCTTTTTCCCAAAATAAACCCAACCAACTAATCCTTTTTCCTCCTTTTTCCCCAAGATAAACCCAACGGAGCTCCCTCAAGGACTCCACACAGGACTTGCGCTCCAAGCCCTGCACCATCTCCGTTCCCCTTCCCCCGACACGCTCCAGCACCTCAATGTCCTCCCCGAACTGAAGCCCTGGACACAGTGAGGTCCGCCTCTGTGCTTCCCCAGCTGCCCCGTTTCTCTCCGTCACCCGTTCTATCAGCCCGACCGCCTCGCAGGCTGCGACCCGGCCCGGAGCACGACCCATCCCGGGGCCAAGACCCGCCCAGCGGGAAAGGCCGCGGTCCGGCGCCTCCCGACAGCACCAGCCCAAGCGCCAGGCTGCCCGGGAGCCGGCTCACCTACCTCGGCCGAGCCCTGCGGCTCGCGGCCGCCGCCGATCAGCCAGCGCAGCATGGCAGCAGCGCCCGCCGCCCGCGCCGCCACCCCGCCGCCCCGCCGCCACAGCCGACCGGCAGCCTGCGCAATCGAGCGCCGCGCCGGCGGGCGGCGCCGCGCGTGGCATGAGCAGTCGATCGCCGAGGCGCCGCGCCGTGAGGGCCGTCCCGGGTGTTCCCGCGCGGCTTCGCACGGCGGGAAAGTGAAATATTTACCGATCTGAAATATATACTGAAATATACACCTCGCTGTCTTCCGACCTCAGAGAACATTTATGCTATTGCCTTCTACCGTATTGCATATTACAACATTACAATTATTGCCATTGATTGTGACGGTCTCCAACTGTTTTTTGAAGTGGAATGAGCACCAGAGTATTTCCTAAGGAACAGATTCCCCTTGGCTATGGCTGTTTCCATCCTCCCTTGCTGAGGTCTTTGATGCTCCTGAAAGGGTGAAGCGACAAACAGGAGTAAACCCACACAGTCCTGCTCCTGTGCTGCCCCTCACAAATCACAGAGCTGAGTGGGCTGGGCTGGAAGGGACTTTAGGTTCTTCTAGTTACAGCTTCTCTACCATGGGCAGTGTGAAAACCGCCAGTCACTTGCTTTTAAAATTTTAAAAGTTTAATAATAATAAAATGTTTATAAAAATAATAATACAATTAGAGTAATAAAATTTAGAGTTAGGACAATTACAAGACAATAAAAAGCAAAGAATTACTGACGTCTGGATGCTCTCAGACACTAAGTCATGAAAAGCATCACTTGTGAACAAAGGAATAACCTTAAAAGCAATAGCCTGTTGCATATTCATATATCTCATACATGATGCATAAATTCCTTGCAAATTAAGAACTTTTCTGGTTTTTGTCAACTTCTCCTTAATCCTGTTGGTTCCACAAAGATGGAGAGAAGGTGGAAGAATGTTTGTCTTTTCTGATAAGGAGGTTGTCACTTTTTATGGGCCCCCTTCGCTGACATCTCTGTGTGAAGAGTTTCTCGATTATCTCATTTTCCTGCTTGAGCTTGTAGCAAATCCTATATCGCAGAGTTTCTATTTTAACATTATGTTGTAACCTAAAACTACATTTAACACACTACGTAAGAGAATTAATACAGCATAACTTTCTAACATTACACATATAATATTCATTGTAACATTTGCAAAAAGCCAATCATAAAATATACATATTTCACAGAGTGGTTTGGGTTGGAAGGGATTTTAGTGTTCATCTAGTTCCAGCTTCTCTACCACGGGCAGGACCATCTTCCACTAGACTGCATTGCTTAAATCCCCATCCAGCCTGGCCGTGAACACTCCTAGGGGTGGGGCATCCACAACTTCTCTGGGCAGCCTGTGTCAGTGCCTCACCATCCTCACAGAAAAGAATTCCTTTCTAATACCCAGTCTAAATCTACCCTCTTTCAGTTCAAAGGCATTCTCGTCTGGTCCTGTCACTTCATGTCCTTATAGAAAGATCATCTCCATGTTTCTTGTGGGCTTCCTTTAGGACCTTGAAGGCCACAAGAGAGTTGACTCAGAGCTTTCTCTTCCCCAGCTCAACAATCTCAAATATTTTCAGGCTTTCTTCACAGGAGAGGTGTTCCACCCCTCCTGAACATCTACTGTTGGCCAGTCTGAGCGTGTAAAACATGGGATGCTAGGATGAAATGACACTGTAGTAACCTAAGTTCAACAAATATTTGTAGTTTGTAACCTTGTGTTTTGCCATTCTTTAACTGCTGTGAACTCCTTGCAGCTTTGTAACCAACTGAAGTTGATAACAGTCATAAACCAGTCTTAAAGCTGTTGTTTATCTACTTTAGCAGACTTCTGCTTTTTTATTTCAGTTCAATCATGCTGACTTCCATCTTAGAGATGCAGTTCCTGCAGACTAAGGGCACAGCCAGTGGAATTACTTGCTGTATGTAGATACACCTGCCAGGGTTTCCATGGTAATCAGCAGTTTTGTCATCAGCAATCTGGTTCCTGGCAGTGTCCCTAAATAATTTGGTATATTCTCCAAACTGGCAAGTGTTGAGTCATTTTGTTACATTTTATTTATTGGAAGGAAGGACTGCACAGCATAACACTACTTACAGTTCTATGACTTACATGACCACGTGAGATGAACTGACCACAACCTCCTTCCACCATCACCCTGCGCATCTGCAGGAGGAAGACAATTTGTGAGTAAAGTTGAGCCCAGAAAGAAGGAAGACATGGAGAGAAGGTGTTGTAAAATGTCTTCCCCATATTTCTCATTATCTTACTTACTCTGATTTGATTGACAATAAATTAAATTAAATTTTTCCCACGTCGAGTCTGTTTCCTCTTGATGGTAATTGGTGGCTGATGTCTCTGTGTCCTTATCCTGACCCATGAGATTTTTGTCGTACTTTCTCTCCCCTCTCCAGCTGAGAAGGGGAGTAATAAAGCAGCTTGATGGGCACCTGGCATCCAGCCAGGGTCAACCCACTGCAGATGGACTTCAGGAGAGTGCTTTTTGTCTCTTTAATTAGAACTGACTTCAGAATTCTGCTTCTGAGCATCTTTTCATTCCTTCTTTAAACTAACAATGCTGCCTGCTCCATTTTCCATTTCTTTGTATGTTGTATAAATTTCTGTACACTTCTTTTTTGAATCCTTCTTGCAATATTAACAAACCAGTTTTATTGTTATTATTTCAAGCATCTAATGTATTGTACACTTCCAGGAAACAGAAGCAACTTCTCTGTTCCCAGTGTGGTTGGTACAAGTGCTGTGTTCGTTGTGGTGCCTGTGTAAAGAGTGCAATTTATCACAGCATTGCAAATGCTAGGCCAAGTTGCAATGTTTTTTGCAATTTATGGCTGTTGCTGTCAACCATTGGCAAAGCATCATGCTCAGGCTCTTAAACTCTGCAAAAATGATGGAGTGTTGGAGGATAACACTCACTGCAGGAAATGTGCAGCACATGTGATTACACAAGCACACTTTTCCACCAGTGTGACATTTCTTGTCCTCAGGATTTAGTATCTGAATAGAGGAATACTTTTCCTTCCCACCTTCTAGCACGATGGCTTCCCTTTTAACTTGCCTCAGTGAGATCCTGGCCTCTGCAGTAGTGACTAGGCATAGAAACTGTCACTAGGTTATCTCCTGCTCTATTAACTAATATTTCCAGTATGTCACATTATTTGTATACGTCTTATAAATTGCTAAAGCCTATTACAGTTTCCTCAAGTTACACAGTTCAATTTTTTTCTGTAGATTTTATTCATTGAATAAAGTTCCTAGGAACAGGTGAACAACTTACAATCAGTCTTACTCTAAGAATTACTTGGAGAGATTTTTACAAAGGAAGTACTAGAAAACATTCTTTTAAAGGTGACTTCTCTAAATCAGACCATATATCTTTGAGATATCATTGTGATTCAGTCTCAAAATCATGCCTAATCCACACAGTTTTTTCCTTTATGTCTAATAAATAGATCAGTTGAAAAGTGTGGGCAAGAATTTCACACACTGTCAAGATCAAATACAGTCAAAACACGTTACATATTAAAGAAACAGAGTTAGAAGCAGCCAACAAATGATATTTCAATGGACAGCATATACTACAGTCCTCCACAACCAGTATAAAACCCTTAAAAATCCATGCTGCTGTTTCTTGTATTCATGGTAGTTAAATCCACCCGTTCAGGAAATGGCTAATTTTGCATTCCCAGGTCAGGTGAGTGATACAAAAGTTCAGACATGTATTATTCCTATAGAGAAATTATCCATTTTGGTTCTGCACGCCCTGTTAGAACTATGGTGCTGGATGATGGGGGATAATAAATGTCACTTTCATCTTTCTGGTGCTTAAGGCCATGCTGTCTAACTAGTTCGCTTTGTGACTGAAGGTGATTAAAAGTGCTGAGAAAAAATGGATCCTGTGGCTCCTGCCAGTTAAAGGGCACGGTTTTAGATATGCAGTGTACCACCAGAGCATCCTCATGGCATTCCTTACAGGATCCAATTAATTTTGTCACATGACCACCTATCTCCCAAGTAATCACCAGCATTTAGAGGTTTAGGAGAAGGGTAGGAGATCAACCAGCAATAACACATTGAGTTCCTCCTCTTGGCCCAAATCCTGGTTGCACTAGAGCTGGCCTAGGGATATTAGCTTGATTTAGGTGAACCTGAATCTAAACTCCAGGAACTTAAGAGGGAATGGAACTTCAACCACTGGTGGTAATTTACTTGACCCCCTCTATCCAAAGGGGATCTCTGCAGTTCCAGTGATGGTGTTGTATCTGAGCGAAATGTTTCCGCACCTTGATGAAAGGTTCAGCAGCTTCCATCATGAAATTCTGGAGATGTTCACAGGCCAAATAAATGTGTGGGTTCAGCTTCATCAATGAAAATAAATAGTTTTGTATTTTTCTAGATTTTTGTGGCTGCAAGAAAAGGCTTTGTCACCCCTTCTCCCCTTGGTCTTAGATTTAGCATCTAAATGTGCAAAATATGTATTATTTTCTCCTGTCTGGTCAGATTCAGAAAAGTTCACCAAAAGCGTAGATGAATACTAGTAGTGTGGGGATGCTACCCTAGTTACATCCTAACAGCCTTCATTTGTATTAATTTGTAATAATCTGCTCCTATTTTTGTCATTTTGGCCCAATCCCTGAAATTAAAGTTGAGGAAAGTCTTATTTTTAGCACTATTTTAACAGATTAAAGTTATTGTCTGTGTATTTCCATTTTTAGTACTTTGATGTTGCAGTTATCTGTGCTTGAACAATCCCTTTACTGCCTCCACAAACTGTGGCCTTCTCCATCTGATGCAATCTAGTCTTTTCTATGTGTTGTCAGTAAATAAACTTATTTTTGTGTTTCTTATGTTTGGTTTACATTTATCTGTGAAACATAAACTACCTCATACAGTGTGTAATGCTGTGTTTCTCTTCACAAAGCAAATTGGTTTGCCTCTTCATTGCCTATTTCTTGTATTATGTTCTTGCTGAAGGTCTAAGGAAGCAAGTGCCATAAAATGGAATAACACCTGCATGAATTCCTCAAAGTCTGACTGTACTTTGTGAAGAAAATGGAGTGAACAATTTTTTTTTATCTCACAGTACAAATTGCATGCTGCTCTGATCTAAAGTGGAGTGTGATGGCAATATAAGCCCCCAGGTGGCA